GCCAGGGGGGGGGGGGTCATTGGTAGCGCCTCTTTAATCGACAATATGCCCTAACGGGGGGAATGCCCTCCCTGAAATTCCAACTAGAGCCGGGGGGGGGGGGGGGGTGTCCTCAGCTACTAAACATACCTCTGACAAAAACCAACAAAACAACAATGCGAGGGGAGACAAGTCCTGTCTAGCAGCCATCGTCTTTGGTGATAAACGTCTAGGCTCTGCTTGTTCTTTCGCCAACGTTTATTTAACACAAGACCTACATATTAAAACGTTACACCTGCGTGTTATGTTTTTGAAATAACATGTTTCAAAGTTATCCTGTTCCAACCATTGGCGGTTAGGAAGCATGCCACAGACCTGTAATGTAATGGTTTGCTGGGGGGAGAGTGGGTGGGGGCGGTGGTCCTGCTATACCGAGGTAATCCCTTCGGGGTCTATCCCTGCGGGTCTCTAGGGCTTTCGGCTCCCTCATCGTATCATTATGGCATCATCTAAACCTACATCTTCTATTGTTGAACCCACCCCAAACAAGATTGTTTTGGACTGTCTGGAAGTCTTGCTTCCTGTACTGGTCAACATTGTGAATTGTAGCCTTCACTCTGCCACAGTCCCACTCTGCCACAGTCCCACTCTGCCACAGTCCCACTCTGCCACAGTCCCACTCTGCCACAGTCCCACTCTGCCACGGTCCCACTCTGCCACAGTCCCACTCTGCCACAGTCCCACTCTGCCACAGTCCCACCCTGCCACAGTCCCACTCTGCCACAGTCCCACTCTGCCACAGTCCCACGTCTCTTCAAGGCGGCGGTCGGCCTCTGCTTAAAAATGTGGCCTGGACCCTGCAAATGTCTGCAATAATTTACGCCTGGTCTCCAACTTACCCTTTGTATCTAAAACTCTTGAGAGAGTTTTGTCACAGCAGCTTATGCAGCATCGTAACACTTATGCCCTGCTTGATAAGTTTCAATCTGCATATCGACCTGGACACAGTTGCGAGACGGCACTACTCTGGGTCATGAATGATGTTCTTTGTAGTGCTGAACGCGGTGATCTGACTTCTCGGCAGCTGCGTCCTCAACTTAATTAAGAAAACAGACAATGCCGTAGCAGCCACTCTAATCCAATCAAGATTAGATTACTGTAACAGTTGTTTGTGGGTTTTACCTCAAAACTAAATTCAGAGACTCCAGAAGGTACGAAATATACTGCAGCACGCATTGTATTATGAGTATCAAGAAATCTGACTACATCAACCCACTTCTTAAAGATCTCCTCTGGCTTTCTGTAAGTGAGCGCACTGACCACAAAATTCTGTCCCTGGCGTACAACTGTATAGAAGACTCTGACCCTCAATATCTTCAAAAGCGTATTTCCAGACATGTATCCATACAGAATCTGCGCTCTTCAACACAGTCCTTACTGAGAGTTCCCATTGTCGATGGACACAGAAGTCTTACGGATTGCACTCTTTTGAAGATATTGCGCCTAAATTTTGGAACAGTTTGCCTTAATCTTTGAAGGAAATTGAAAATGATAAAAAGTTATTTATGAACCGTTTAAAGACTTTTTTCTTTAAATAGATTTTTAGGACATCAAGGTGCTGTAAAAATTAAGCGATTAAAGTTGCTTCCCTTATTTAAAAAAATAAATAAATCTATAGATATCACATTATAATCGTTTAATTTATGTAAGTAATGTATTTACTCTCCCCCTTCCCCTACATGTATATATGAGTGGGTTGCAAATGCGAAATCAAATAAAATGACAGATTTATTGATTCATATTTTCATACATTTTAATGCAACTTTCTTCCGGGTTAAAAGCTTATGTTAGGTTCTTTATGCAGCTTATTACTTTACACCAGTACCCGTAATTAACAAATGCTTCCTTTTTAAAAAAAAAACTCTATCAATGGCGAACCTTGAAATAGCGCTGTCTCTGGCAAAGGATCGATTTCTAAAAAAAAAAAAAAAAAAAAAAAAAAAAAAAAAAAAAAAACCTTTACATAGAGCACATCCAGTCCACCGTGAAATGTGCAAGGTTTCTTTGGGACCTGCAAATAGCACATTATGACATGCCGCGCTGGTCATGAATAGCGTTATAAAAATGGTGCGACGCAGACCTTTTGCTTCGCTTATTAGTTTGTTTCACACACACGAGCTGATTCAGACTTTCTCAAATGACATACAAGGAAGAAATCAAGAGTAACTTCTCTTATGCGGAAGCGATCTTGGGGCTGTTTCTTAGTTTGATGACAACTAACGGTTCTGGGGAGAGGGCACGTGGTCGTGGTATCCTCTTCAAATTCATTAAGCTGGTCATATGGTCTCATCCCCAAATGAAGTTTATCCATTATTATATTATTTCCCATTCAGGCCTACTTTAAAAACAAATATTGCACTTGCTAATAAGTATTTGAACTTACAATTTGTAGCTGAAGTCACATTATAGTGACCTATTTTATAACCGGTAATATTGTATTTCATAATTTGGTTTCGTTTCCATATTAAAATATATTTTGAAACAGACTGTTTAATGTTAAGCTATATTTAGTGCTGAACCATCCTGTAAACATTACCATCTTAAGAACACATTCGAAGTAAACAAGAAAGGTTACCCCCCCTCCCACAAATGCTATCTCGTATAGTTTACTCGTCTGCATGTTTTGCAGGTAGCCTATATATTTTTTAAATGAGAATTACAATCTTATAGCATTACAATAGATTATCGTGTTCCTTTCTGTCTGTGCTAGAAAGTATAATCCCATTTCATTGTTTACATTTCGGATTCTTGTGAAAAGGCGCCGAATCCCAACATAAGTTCATTTCTCTTTCGTTTGTAGAGCAGTTGTTCTCAATCTTCCTAATGCCGAACCCCTTAAATACAGTTCCCTATGTTGTGGTCACCCACAACCATAAAATTATTTTCGTTGCTACTTCATAACTATGTGTTTTCCGATGTTCTTAGGCAACCCCTATGCAAGGGTCGTTCGACCCCCAAAAGTGGTCACGGCCCACAGGTTGAAAACCGCTGTCTTAGAGTCACATATATTACGACCTTAATTTCATTATTCATCATTCGCATTCCATCTCGGTTTGATTTCACGCGGATACGATAAGAACTTTCAATTTTCTCTGTATAATTAGCTCCCCAATCTAATCTATTTTTATTTACTTATTGACACAATGCAATCTCTGTTTTTTGGATTTTTTAAAATTTTGACGATTAGGAAACAAGCAACATCCGGGCCGCCATGCGCCATTCGGCCCAGTGCAATTAAATGAGGAAATATCGAAAACTAAGCTAGTGAACCGGTATGACGTTTCCCTTTATGACTAGTAAACTGAAGATGATTGTGACTATGTGACGTGTCTTCATATCAAATCGGCGGCATTTTATGAAGCCAACGGGGCCGTAAAATTCAATTTTCTCACCCCCCCCTTCCCAACTCCGTTAGCGCCATCCCGGACTGAGAGGGGTCTGGGGAAATTGCTGTATATTTGTGTCTTGAGTATTCAAGCTGCTAGCTGGTTTTAGCAAAACTGGTATGGAGGACTTTTTGGAGTAATGCACAAGTTTAGAAAGTATTACTATCTGAAGTCGACTGGATTAGCAGGACTGGATTAGAGGGGTTGGCCGTTTTCTTGCAATCAGTTTTACATATGTGGACGCTCATGAAGTTTGTCATAATGACGCCCCATAGAAAGAGGGGGGGGGGCTCTAAGAAAATGTGACAGTTTACAACAGATGGAAAAGGGTAAAGATCATGTGTGGACAGGGGATCTGACGTTCAGGGCCGGCCCTACGGTTGCTGACGCCTCGGGCAGCTTATCTTGGTGCCCCTTTTAAGTATAATACTTCACGGGCGCCGTGGCAAAGAAAAAAAAACCCAACTCTATGCACCTAAGAAGGAAGCGGCTGCCTTTGTCAGCAGCGACTTTTGCCACCACTTCCTGTACACGATCATACCATTTTATATAGTATGACAGGCAAACATTCGGCAATAAAATTATGTTTCTTCAAAGGCCCCCACATGAAATGCTTTTTCATATTTTTCAAGATCGCTGATAGCGCCCTAAGCACGTGGCGCCCCTGGCAACTGCCCGAGTTGCCGGTGCCTTGAGCCGTCCCTACTGACGTTAATTGCACCTCATTTAGATTTTTTTTGGAAGTGTATTATTGAAAATCTTGTAAATATAATCGTTTGACCATCGAATGAGATAATTAAAAAACTCAAAAATAATGTTTGAAAGGATTTAGATACAAAATTTTAAAAATCAAGCAACAATTCGGACATTTGCTTGCATGGTTGGATCCAGACTGATTGATAGGAGCTCTTTTGGCGAGTGGCGGGCCTTATTGACGGATGCCCTTATGTCGTGGGCTTTATTGACGGTATGGATTTTTCACAGGCCGGTTTGACAGGTGACGGTCTTGTAGAATATTCTCTTGACTGGCGATCATATACATAGAGGCCTACGCTATAGTCATTATGGGGTCCACTTCGACATATTCAAGTAACCATATAATCCCAACATTGTTGAACAGCAAGAATTGCTTATTTCAATTCAAATCAAACTAAAAGACTGTTAAAAAATATTTATTAAAAACAGTTATCTCGTGATCCATGGCAGGGAACCGTTGCTAAATGAAAAATTTGCAGTAATTGAATGCAAGATTCTGAACTGAAGAGAGTTCAGAGTTAAGAGGCAGAGGATAAACTATTCTACTATTTGTTTATTTAATTTACTAATCATGCGAAATTTAACCAGGAAATATTGCCATTTTAAATTATGATAAGAACCATACCTTACCTTATCAAATTAAATATAATAGAATTAGATTTATTAAAGTAATTTTTATTTGATTAAATAATATAACTATTAATTTATTTTAGTACTCATTTAAGAATTACCGTTATCATAGATTGTTTTGTTTCTTCAGGAGTAAAAAAAATCATTTTATATTTTTCTCTACTTCCCTTCCAATGACCCCTTTCAGTCATTCTTCCACAAAATCCAAACATGGCCGTTCTGACGCCATGTCGAGGGTCGTGAAATGTAGATTATAACTTGTGGCTTTCCCGATGTTGGCCCATAAACAGCCCCGTTTTGACTTTAAAAGAAGGAATTCAGAAAATATTTTTGTCGTTCTAAGAAAGCCTCAAATGAGTTTTGGGGCTTTCGCCTTGATGTTTATGGAGTAATATGAATTTGGACCCGCTTTCTTTTGCGTTATCCGAAATAAGTTATACGATTGCCAATTTAACTAAGAAAAACTTCAAGCAAAGCTTTGCTGCTATAAACCACGTAAGCAAAATGTTAATTTTTATATAATATGACATATGGTATTACAGCCTGAGAGGAGTAAGTCAATAACATTATTTAATGTAACATTCCCCTAATTATCTAATAATTGACACTAAAATTAACTTCCTTCTTTTAAAAAAGAATAAAATATGGTTGCACTTGTCACCCTGTTGCCTACTCGGCCTCCTGATAAAACTACGACTTCCACGACCACTTATTTGTTTTTGAGACTTTACTTAAAGAAGGCCTACCCTACTTTTAATAGTAAATTAAAATAGTGTAGCCTAGTTGTAAGGCCATAGCCTATAATTTAATTAGTTACAGCTACGGTTTTTGTAGGCTGCGTAGGCCTACGCTTACACTTACACTATATTCACAGTGATTCACACACTGAACCGCCAAGGTGGGTGCTGGGCAACCCTGTTGCTCCACTGACATGTGGTAAATGGACCTCCATAATATGTTGTGAATTTTTTTTTTTTTTAAAGTGAATATATTGTAAGTTCATTTAAAAATTCGAAGTGTCTACACGTCCGGCGCGCCGGACGTGTAGTACGCAAGATACACGTCCGGCGACTTGTCACGTGACCGCCGGACATGGCCGGACGGCTAGTAGTTTTTATAATTCCAAACGAAATACGATTTAGTATATCTTGTCTGGTCTTGTGGTAGGGTGGGTGCTTGACGATAGGAATGTTTGAGGATCTATACCGGGGATAGGGTCGTTTTTTTTCTTCCCATTTTAATTAAAATATTTTGTATATATTTATATTATCATGTTCCTCAGCAACAGTAGTTTCATGAGAAGTTTTTAAATATTTTGTAGCAATTGAAATAATTTAAAATGAAATCTTTAACTTTTATTGGTTGCCACACTGGCCCCTAATTTATTTTATGGATTACTGGTACACAAAAAATAACAAACTAAACAAAAATGTTTACAAGCCACTTTCACTTAAGTTTCTTTTTCTATTATTTGCATTCAAGATACTCAGTACATTACTTGGTAGAGAAATAGATTTTAAAATTAACAATAGTTTTGAATTATTCGCAGTCACGTGACAAGGCTGATCGACACGATATCTCTCGCCACTTTGTTACGGCGGTCATGTGACTTGGTCGCCGGACACATAGTGCGGGAGATAGACGTCCGGCGCGCCGGACGTGTAGACACTGCCTTAAAAATTACCCTTAACCCACGAGCTGTCAAAACAGCCAATTATCATTTTTGCAGCTGAAAACATTTCTCATAAAATTTGGGCTAGGATGTTCTTAGCTGTCTTCCAAAGTATAAAGGACACAGAGATTCCCCAGTCCCCACGTTTAACTCCAGCTATAAAAATGGTTCCAGATTGAAAAGATTTTGGTTTTGAACTATGCGATACACATTTTTTCTTAGCCTTAAACCTCTTTGATTTACTAAAAACGAATAGAAAATTTAATTTAAGTATATTTCATATAAACTTGATTGGTTGCCAGATTTAATTTATGCTGCGAAAATAATATTCAATGAAGAATAGGAATATAAAATCATACACATTGTTCAGGTGCATTCACCCTGCCTAAGTAGTGTAGTATTTGGGTGCGACGAGTCTTGTCAACATCTATACCGCTAAGTACACCTTTACTAAATATTCAGCCCTTGAGAACAGCACATTTCATCATTTAGTTAAATTTTTTTTCAACCTTAAAGGATTTTATGATATATCTATAGTATAGAGTGGCACATTTGATTTTCATTGGCACATGCAGGTGGTACATTTGTTTCATTATCACTGAATAATTTCAGTAATAATTCTGATATATCCCTTGAGCACTGAATCACTATACAAAAAAATCAGCGACACACAGTCTCACTTTACCTTAACTGATTGTGACAAAGCTACATTACATTGATAATCTGTGAAGGAAATAATGCTGAAAAAGACAAACTTTTTGTTCTTTTGCCAGGCACTCTCTGAGCACTGTTCTGAACCTGTTCCCCATATCTTTATTTCCTATTTTAGTGTGTAAGACAAGAACAGAAACATCCTTTCCCATTTGCTAAGTGGTCACAGGTTTAGCTTGGCTAGTATGTGTCTCATGCAATTTAAAATGTGTTATACAAATAATGCGACTAAACTCCTCAAAGAAAAAATAGTACAATAGTACATAATACTGTATAGAGAGTCTATACTAACTTTCTAGTTTGTACTGCCTGTTCTGCCCCAACCTCTGATTCATGTGGTCTAGCATGTTTCCTGTCATTTTATTAGTTGTCATGAACCATGACACAATTTTGGGACAGATTAGTTAATTTAATGGTTTTAAATGTTTTTTGTCTTTCGAGTAAATGAGTAGTGATCAGGGTTGTATATAGCTGATTACAGGCATCAGGCTTTTGTTATCTGTTAGGCAAGCTGCAGAAAATGTTTTTTAACTTAATAGTTTTAATAGTTGCCATTCAAATAACTGATATTTTGAATAATGGGCATTCATATAATTTACGCTCTACTGAACTATTTTACAAAAATTAACCTAAATAATGTGTAGATACTGAATACTGTACAGAAATTATAAATACGCCTAATATTTTCTTACAAAATATATCAAGTTAAAATTTTACTCATGTCACCTGTTTTGGTGTAAAAGCATTCAACCAAATTTTTCGGGGATGGGGAAAGATTTTTTAATGAAATTTGGCCTTTTAGCGCAAAAATGTAGAGATGTCAAATTTTAGGTCTTACAAGTCTTAGAAAAAAAGTTATTGCAATTTGAAAATGCTTAAGTCACAATTTTACCCATGCAGAACTACAAGTGTTAATTAATTAAATGTCAAATTTCTTCAGCGTTAAATTTTTTTTCAAAATTTGCATGTGAAATTGTAACAAATATTTTACATCATTGCTTGAATATATCGGTATATTTATTATTCTTCAGCTTGTTAACCAGCACGGAGCTGAAGCCGATAGGCATCTCTTTAGGTGCCTTTTTTCTCATATCGACTTCAGTGGAGATGGTAAAAGTAGTGGCAAGGACTTGCTTCAGGTATGATCAAACTCTTACTGAAAATTAAATATTTTTTTCAAAATACATTTTTTAATAAATAACAAATTATTAAAAAATTTGTCATAAATGTTATAAGCAATTTCTTTAATATTATTATAGGAAAATATTGGCAAAATCACTTTTGTTTATTTTCATTATTCTGTAATAATAATTACTCTTCTAATTGGTTCTATAAAATGCATTTGCATGCATTTATTACATAGCCTAATTTTTTCAAGCATAAAATCTTATTGAAGTAATTTATGCATGCAAAAATTAAAAGTTATCCTATTCAATTTATAACTTTAAATCTACATTTTACCATTTTCTTTTAATTTAAAAAAAAATTAAATTTAAAAGCAGATATCATGTTGTGCAATTGTTTGTAAACATTTCTCAATTTTTTAAATTTTAATAATTTTTTTTTATCCAGATACAGTATTTAAGTCAAGAATTTGGTGCCTTGCTTACGAAGCCGAACTTTATTTCTATTCTTTGCTATTCTATTGATAATCCTCTTCAACAACAAAATGTAAGTTTTTCTATTTTTGTCTAAAAAGTTCTTACTTAAAATTCAAGTAATGATTTATTATATTTTCCTAATGTGTTGGCATGCGTTTTTTTTTATATATTGGAGCACATTTTAAAAATTGTTGATATTGGGGCACATTTTTAAAATTTATATATTAGAGCTAATGATGCCAAAGTGGTCAGCTCTGTCTGTCAAGGATTCTGTGAGATTTATAGGGTGGTTTTGGGTTAGGTGATAAATTAAAGAGTTTTAACCCTTTCAGTCACATTGTGGCTTTCTAGCCCTTATGCCTGTCGCGTTATGGCCAAATCCCGCCATAAACAACACGCAATCTTCAATGTTGCATAGGGAAGTAAGGAGATACAAACAGCTTATTTATAAATTGGAAGCGTCAAGCTCTTGTTTTGTTTGGGTTTGGTGGCCCTGCACTTGATTTAATTTTTTTACTTTCGATTTAAAAAAAAAATTGTGCTTTCTTGACAGTAGAGCTTAATTAATTGGGTTTGTCCATATAGATCACTTCTAGAAACTGCAAGTACGTCGGCTGTTGGTGTCGACAGTACAGAATTTCATTCATATATAGATGCAGAAATAGATATGGCAATAAAAATGATGTCTTTATTTTATTAGATCAACATTTTGATATCCCAGATGGGTCAGAGGATGAAGACATTGTTAATAGATCTAACTGGTCTTAACAATTGCGTTCAAGTGACATTGAAGAATTTTTGGTGAAACTGGCCCTATTGTTGACTTATTCTAATTAAAATTTAATCTTTTCTCAACAATTATCAGTATTTTTTGTATGACTGATGAAAGATTGATTTTTAAAAAAAATAATTAACCTCTAATCAAAATGGAGCTATTTCCTTTCGTTTAATGTTGAAGGTATTTCTCAATGGACTCTACAATACTGCAAGGGTTCAATATAAATTGTAATATTTAAAAAAAAAAGAACAGAATAGATAGTAAAATGCTATAAATTTATTGTTAAGTCTATACTAGATTTTACTTTGATTAAATTCCACAAAAGATGTGTCATTGATGCCTGTTGAAAACCGTTAAGAAATTTTAAATAGTTTTTTGACCAAAAATTTACTTAAATTATTACTGCCTTAATTCGGATATATACTTAAAAATTAGGGGTGTGCCGGATCCGTTTTTTCCAACCGGATCCGGATCCGGATTTTCTTATGCGAAATCCGCCGGATCCGGATTCCGGTTTCTCCCGGATTCCGGATTTTGGTACTATTGGTAGATACTTCGGTAAGTCAAGGTGGACTACTACTTTTTGTGTATGGGAATTCGCAATCGGCGCCAAAAAATCCGAGTTTTTAATTTTCCGATGTGTGTGTCTATTTATTATTAAATTAGTACTTTCGATATAAATTTGAGTTCCGTTCCATTTGGATAAGTGTCTTACGAGAGACGCCATGTTTCTACGCGTTCGCAGCAGGTTATGCAGCTCGCTCAACCTAATTTCGCCATGGGGTTGGCCACGCCCCCCTTTTTAATGGCGGAAGTTGACGATACTTAGGAAATATTAATTTATTATCACTATTTACATCAAAATAATTGATAACTTGTGTTTCAGAATGCATTTAAAGACATTTAAACTGGAATGTTTTAATTTGAGCTTTAACAACCCGGTAGAATCCATATTATAAATGATCAGAATTTACCGTGTGCAACACGTTGTCATTGGCAACCATTCACAGCCACTTGCATAACTGTATCGTAGTACTACCTCAGAGTTTCATTCATAAGAGTTTGCCGTGTGCAAAAACTATTAAACCATTGGTCAGGGAAAGCTTTAATTAATTATTCATGTGCCAAAGTTGAAAGTTTAAACTAAGTCTAAACAGTATTTTAGTGATAAGGCAGGGAATGCGTTGCCTTATATAAACTATATAGTCATTGCGCATGACGGGATTGGTGGAATGAGATCACAGAATGTGGAGATGCAGTCCATGTTAAAAAATGACAAACCAAGTCGTACTTTAAAAATTCATAACTTTAAAACTACAACAGCTAAAAATATGATTTTGGTGTTATAATTCTTTAAAAAATTACATCTTTTCAACTATGCCATTGGTTTATTTTTACAAAAAGTTTAAATTTTCTTATCAAAGTCCCTACACTATTGGCCACTATTAGCGGTGCTGACTCTAGCCTCTGGTATGTACGGAATATTAAACATTAAACAAGCTCAACGCTCGAAACAATCGATTAATGTATCGTGATCGTGTGGAATTCGGGAAAGAGAATTACTTTTATTTCAGATTATGATCCGGTGAGTCACAAAATCTGGCAAATTCCGAAATCCGGTATATTCCGGAATCCGGTTGTTCCGGATACATGTAAATCCGGCGGAACCGGATCTCACCGGATAGTGCAAAATCCGGCGGAACCGGATTCCGGACCGGAATCCGGCACACCCCTATTAAAAATATTCAAATTTATGTTACTATATTACCTTTTATTTTAGCATTTGTTACTTAAGATTTAACTATACCATTTCATTAGAAATAAACAAAGTAGGTTTAACTTGGAAGAAAGGATAATCTTAAAAACATAATTTATGCATCCAGTGTAATGGTCTATTAAAACACCAGGCCCACTAGGCACATTAGAAAATAAAATTTATTTGGTATAATGGTGACATATCACTTGACTAATTATACATATTATCAACTGGTTCAATGAAAGTAAACAGTTTAGCAACTAGCTTAAGAACAAAAATGTATAAATAAATATTGTAACATAACAATTTTGATTTAAATTAACAATTGAATGAAAATCACTATTTCGTGTGAGAATAAGAATACATGGATCTAAATATAGAAAAGCGGAAATAAAAGGAAAAGACATATTGTAATAGATATTAAGATGGGGGTTGATTGAATTTTATTATTCTAAAAGATCTGGATGTATTGTGACTGTACTTCAATCAATAATTCTATTATTCATCAATGTGAAAATTTATTCAATATAGTGTAATTTGTTAATGAATAAATACTATGTTGAAATTGATTTCTGCTGATATATATGTAGTTTGAGTGAGACCTGGGATGATATTGAATACATAGAACAACATTTACAGTAACTGTCATATTTATTTAGATGTCAGGACTGCAAGGTTGTCTGACGATATAGTTATCTATGGTACAATCTGGTGATTTGCTGTATGTACCATTCCCTTTTTATTTGCTGTGCTTTTTTTTTCAGAGCCTAAAGCCATCCGCACATCTTTTTGCTCAAATCAGTAGAGTTTTGCATCTTACTCGTGTGCAAGAAGTAGCAGTTGCACTTGCTCTCCTTAGCTCTTCCAAATCTGATATCATCAACTTTGCACTTCAGTTTGCAAAGCAGAAGCTGCCAGAACTTATCAGATCTTACGTGGATGTTGGTTAGAAATGCTATTTTTTTTTACTTCTAGTATATCAAAGTGCTTAACAAATTATTTAATTAATTAAAAATAGAGTGCATAGAATTATTTTCTATGGTGAAATGAAATTATATGTCAAGGAGAAAGAGTACCCATGATGTTGTATTCTTCTTTTTATTGTTATGGATGGAGTGAAACTAAAGATATTTTAGAATAATTTGTTTTTAAACGAGAATTTTTTTTAATCTCTTTTAAGAAAGTAACAATTTTGATAGTTCAGAAGCTGAAAATTTGTAAATGTAATATCATTTCTGTAAAATACAGATACAGGCCATCAGGAGGGTGGACTCCAAGACTCTGATATTGAGATACTTCACCTTCTGCTATCCCATCTGGTAACAGAGAGAGAGCAGTTTGGCATTGCTCAAGAGACTTTGGACACCTTCTTAAAAACTGTCAGACGAGGTAATGCATTATTTAAATTTGGAAAAGATTTTATTACTCTATTACTTAGATTCTACTATTTTTGGGTAACCATTTATTTAATTGATTTATTTCCGGCAGGAAAAAAAATCAGGAAATTATAATATAATGTATAAAATATATTATAAAATATAACTGGTGATATATTAATATGATTTTTAAAAAAATAACCATTTGAAATTATTATTCTTATGCCAGAATTCCCTCGTGAGAGAGTGCCGGCTATTATTAGCCCATTCATCTATCCAAGCTTGGAAGACATCACAGGAAAGAAATTAAGAGACTTGGGAACCATGAAAAAGAATATGGTATATAAATATACATATATAAAAGAAATTAAGATCAATTAAATAATAATCTAATGCATATAGTTCAGCATTTCATTAAAAGCTGTGCATTAGTGTAAAGTAATCGAATTTAATCTAGAAAGCTCTGTGGATAATTATTCTTAGATTTCTCTGGAACAACTGGAAACTGTTTTTATTAGAAATTCATATTTAGTTCTTAGATAAATTAAATGTTTGTTAAATAAATAATTCTTACATTTTTAAAAACATTTTTACAGACTGATATCAGCATTGCTGAGTTCATGCAAGAAAGTGGCTACAGTTGCACTGTCAAGTAATTTTTCCAAATCTGATTAAAAATAATTAATTAAATAAGGGAATGGAAAGACCCTTAAAAAATAAAGCTATTGATGGTGACAATTTCTAATTCTCTAATTCATTTAGAAAATTAAAAATTTTCAAATGATTTTCAAATAAAATATTTGATTTTTTTTTTCTTTAGTGTTGATGAATGTCGGAACCTTCTTGCCCTCTGTGGGGCTAGGGAGATCACTCCAGTTGCTGTTGCTCGTATCCTAGGAATGATGGCCCGCACACCAGTAGGCCTAGGAGACCATGGACAACAGGTGTGTTTTTTAAAATGATATTACTAAAAAGCATTGCAGGAGCATTGTTAACACAGACCTGGTTACACTTGTGATTTTGGCATACAGTGTACAATTTTGAGAAGTATTTACCACTGTATGCTGAGACCTGTCAGAACTACCATTTCAAGAAACCAGGCTATAAAATATATTACGGTAGTTTTTACAATTTTAAAAAAACTACATTTTCAGTTGTTGATTTTAGCTATAATATGTTGAAGGAAAATAAAATTAGACTTCTATGCCCACCATGTTAAATGAACTTATTTATTCATTCAATTAGCGATTATGTTCATTCTTGACATATCCGCACATTTGAAATATATATGTATATATATCACATTTTTGTGACTGTATGCACCCTTTTAGTGTACCCGCCTCTTTTTGGATTGATTAAAAAAAAATAGAATGAAATCAGTAATCTTAAATAAAAATTATATTATAATTTTACTATTTAGTAACTATTAAAATTAAAGGATTTATGTAAACACAGCTAGGTAACGGGACGTAATTTTTCACCGGTACATCTTCAGTTTTTCTCCAGTTAAGTTTATATGATGTAAAACTAACTTCAGGTATTTGAGAGGGGGGCAGCCCCCCTCCCCAAAACCCATGCCCACGTTCACTCAGGTGACTTCGACTGGCATCCTCGATTTTTGCTCTCCCACCCCATCTTAGTCTCAAAGTGACAATGATGGGCACCATTTATTTGCAATAAGGCACAGTATATAAATATTTAATCGTCAGTCATCTTCTTAGGGCAGTGACCTCTTTTAGACATGCGATTGGTGTGTGTAGTTATTGTACACATTATACTGTATTTTTTATTTATTTACTTTTACAATACAGTATTCTATGATTTTGTGGTGGTGAAGTTCTATTCTGAAATGATATACTATTTTGGGAGTTTCGTGATAACCAAGTCTGTTAATATCCCGGTTTGTCATATGTTTTAACCCACCATATTTATTTGTTTCAACATAAAATTTTAATATTCTGTTTCTAGCAGCAAGGCGATCGCCCAGATGTTCCCGGAGTGTCTACTTGGAATGTTGATGTTTTTATGCAAGTAGTCAAGGAAATGGTATGCTCTGTTTTAAAAAATGTATATTAGTTGATTAGTTTTATAAAGTATTAGATCTATGAAATGCATTTTTATCCGTGCTTGTATAACATAGGATAATTTTTTATACATTTTTTTAGAACCCTCACTTAAACTGGCGTGAGGTGGTGGTTAACCTAGATCATCCAAAGTTTCTGGTGTTTGGAAGAAAAGGATTGCGATTGCTAGTGCAGGCCATTTTCCGTGGTCTGCATCAGGAACCATTTCCAATAGACCAGATCTACAAGCATTGGAGTAACACAGAGGGGCAGGTGATAATGATAAAAATGTTTGATATTCTCATTTTAAAGAGGCCAATTTATTGGCATTGTAGATATAAAAAACTAATCCCTATTGTAGAGGGAAGTATTTTTTCAAAATGTAACAGTTATGCTTAAATATTAATATTGGTTTTCACAGCTTTCATTTCTGATGCAAGCATTAAAACATCCAGATGTTTTGTGTCTTGCTGATCATAAGGGTGACACTCCAACAGTTGTTATTGACATTTTAAAGTCAGCACCAAATGAGGATGATCGTGAAATCGCTACATGGTATAATCTTTATGGCTAAATTAGCACATTTTATTTTTTAATTTAATTTTTTTTCTTATCATAGTTTAACTTAGAATATTGTTAAGCTAATTGTTGGTAACTTCTTTTTAATAAGAGTAATGTACTTGTTTATTATCAGGAAATCCTTGAGCTTAGTAGAGACGTTGCTACGTCTGTCAGATTGCGGTCATCATAACCAAGTTATAGAACTGTTCAAAGCCCCCATCGCCAAGTGTCCTGATATCTTGGTTTTGGCACTGTTGCAGATTACTGTAAGTAAAAGATGACTTACGTTAAATATAACATTTGATTCAAAGCGAAAGTCTTTTTGAAATAATTTGGATCAGCTGCATTTATCATGTCAAGAACAAATGAGTATTTTAAAAGGAGCACAAAGCCCAGTACATTTAAACAGTCAGGGAATATGCTTTTTAAGGCACTTACTATGCTTGTGACAGAATTGTTTAGCTAATACCACTTTACATTGGATGTCATCTGGACTAAGAGAAAGACAGAAATTACCTTGATTATTTAGCTATCTTCCTTGGAAAAATTCTAAAAGACAGGTGGTCCCAAGATTAAAAAAAAAATCACATTTTTTAGAAAAATAATAAGCTTAGTGAAATACATTTATGTTATGTTTATTTGAATTTCAGTTAGCCTTTTTTAAAATCTGTTACTGGTTAATTGTTGTCTTATAATTTTAATTCAACTTTTTTAGTCAGCAGTCAATCGCATGAAGACAGAAATCATCTCCCTGCTTATGCCCATCTTCCTAGGTCAACATAGCAACTCGGCTGTTATCCTGCATTATGCATGGCACCATCAGGTACAGTTCATGAACTATGTTTTTTTACACTTGTTTTGCAAATGAAGAACTTTAACAAGTTATAAGGTCTTTTTAAATTAAAATTTACATTTTTTTTATTTATAGGGGCATTCCAGCAGTATTCGTACCTTGATTATGCATTCTATGGCAGAGTGGTATATGCGAGGAGAGCCACATGACCAAGTTCGTCTTTCTCGAATTTTGGATGTAGCACAAGATCTCAAGGTGAGACAAAGCTTTTCAAAAGTCCTTTCCTTTTCCCTTTTTTCACTGTGTTGATTCATAAATTCTTTTACTACCTGTAATCTTGGGATTGAAAAACACAACTTCTAGCAATAACATGAATATGGCATACACTAAAGTTTTTTAAATACTTTCTATTTGTTATTTCTACATTTGACCTGTCTGCTGAGGATGGCACTTAGCCGAAATGCTCTTCTTTTTTTTGTCCTGTCTATTTCAAGATTGCACATACCTTGTTCTTCTATTTCCTTCACACAGCTTGAAACCATTCCTTAATTTATTATTCTTTGGCTAATCATGTTAGTTGAACCCAAAGTACTTATGGAAGAACCTGGGTTATGTTGAAGTGTCGGCGTATTAAAAGTTTTATAACCCATAACTGGAAACGACTTTGTGTCAAGGTTCTTTTGTACTTGTTTCACATCATACCCTAGACAACAACACAAAGACACTAATACATTTCTAGATAATATCCTGTGAGCAAGGATAATTGTGATAATCACAGTGTCTTAACTGTCACAATCACAATGTCTTATGACTTATAACAGAGGCGCAGTGGTTCAAATGATAGTGACTAATACTTTATTACACACTGTGACAATCACAATAAAATAGCTAATACTTGAAATAGGCCTACATCTCATGCAGAACATACTAAATCCGAAAACACTTGGAATGTATGACATAATAACACGTATTTCAATACTAGCTTCTCTCTAAACTTCTTTACTTGATAAAGTGTTAACGCACTATAAATATTCATTTAAACAAAAAAGTTTTCTGTTCAATCTTCTTACATAAATATCATGGATCAACTGTCGTTTCATTCAAGGTGCATTTTGTTTTCGTCTTGGCTCGCCTCTGATTGGCCAGTTTTATCCAAGTCCCAATACTTTGTATATTACATAAGTAATAACTCCCATCTTACTTGTCTCCCTTATATTCATATCTGTGACAATAATAAAGCAAAAGGCATACTATGATTAGAGAGTTACTTATTAACCAAAATTGTAAGAAAAAGTAGACATATCCTAGCAACTTGGGTCCGTGCTTTGGCAAAATCTTTGAAAACAATTAGACCTTTATATAATAGTTAAAATATATATTATTTGCATCTATTCTTTTTATTCACATTAAATAAACTGTAAAATATTTTGTACTCAAAGTTATTCTGTCACCTTGAATTATACTTACCTTTGTTAGCATATTCTTCGAAATTTGTTTTCCTATCAGTTCATGTACAGTCTAATTGATAAAAGCTTTAGAAATATCACTTCAATTAATTATAATTTTTCAATTTTTGTTTAAAATTTGCCTTTTGCAATTTAACTTTCCAGCCATTCTTCACAGTATTTCTAAGCAGCAGTTGAAATTTTATCAATTTTTAGAATGGGATGACACAGCCCTCTTTTCTCAGGATTTAGAATAAAAAAAATTTATGCAAATACAAGCAAAAAAAAAAAGTCCAAAGTGATCAATTTAAAAAATTCATTTCATTTGCTTGGTGAAAAAACTCAAGGCATCGTGCAGTTTTTACTATATACTCATGATGCTTTAAAAAATTGCATCTTTTATTGAAGGATTCCAAAAATGAAAATTGTACATTTTAAATGAGAAATGTGCAGTACAAAATATTTTATCTCATTCAGTCAGTTTATCTCAGCCATAACTCAATTTGAGAGATAGTAAGTAATGTGGATCAAGACATGCTTATTTCCTTTCCTGTTTATTACATTCTAGGCTCTTTCCATGTTGCTGAATGCAACCCCATATGCTTTTGTGATTGATCTTGCATGTCTAGCATCCAGACGGGAGTACTTGAAATTGGACAAGTGGCTAAATGACAAAATTACAGATCATAAGGTGAGCATATCAACTTTTAATTATTTTTTTCCCCCTGTATTAAGGTAGCTCTTAAATATATTTTAAACCATGAGGTTTCAGCTTTATATTTTGTTAAAAAATTTTCTTGTTTCAGGAGGCTTTTATTCAAGCATGTGTGACATTTTTAAAGAGGCGCTGCCCCCAGTTAATGGGAATGCCATTAAAGGAAGAGCCACCTCAAGCCCGTAGTCAACAACTGCCACCAGAGACAGTTGTAACAATGTTAAACTGTTTAAGGATGTGGACACAGTACGATTTTTTGAAAAATATTTTTTTGGGGTGGGAATTTAAAATGTTTACATCTCTGGTTCACAGTATGCTATTTAGTAAATATTTGGTAGTCAATTTGAGTCTCAATGGAGACTTTTAAACGTACCAATAATATATTTATGGAAATTTTCAAATCAAAATTTTCAAATGATAAGAGTTGTATATAACTTGCATTTTGAGTACATTAAAAAACAGTCGATCAGTATATAGATAGTAATGTCCTTTTTTCATAAATACATCGAGTTGATAGTTAAAAAACACTATCTTTTGTAGCAGAAAGCCCTTGTTCCATAGCATTTATAAAAATCAGTTGCATTTTTTAGATAGCTTTTTAAATAATTATCGTTTTTTAAATTACAGACATTTGAACCCAGAACTTGCAGAAACAATAAATTCAATGTTAAATAATGCTAGCATTTACTTGAGCAAACCTAGGCCACCACCCCCAGGAGCTATGCCAGGAATAGGACCTAAGCAACCCCCATATCCTGCACAAAACATGGTAAGTCTATAAATATACATATACTTTTTTACTTTTTAACGTAATTCATTTTTTAAGTGCATTGTAAGCTACACCCTAACAGAGCATTTCTTTAAGAATTTTATTTATTTATTTTTTGTTACATCCTTAATATTCAACATCACCATCCACAGTTGGATTCTTTATCAAACATCGGTGGTGTTCTCAATCAGGCCGGGCCTGGGGTTGTAGGTCCTCCTGGAACGCAAAATTTACCACAAGCCATAGCTAATCTCACACTTGGACCACCAGTTCCTCCAGGTTCCCCATCTAAATCATTTCCTCCCTTATCCCAGCAACAGCAAGCTGCACCTGGAATGAACTTTAACCCTATGATGGGAAATCCAATGCCAAGTAAGTACTTTTTAACTCTAGATGCCTTAAAAAATTAGACCAAAAAATAAAGTTTAAAAAAACTATCAGTGACCTTGAAAAATGAGTTTTAAATTTATATAACACTAAATAAAAAAGTTTTCATCTAATAGACATATATGTTTTGTTTTGTATGAACACTTGAACAAAACCTTTGTTCTAGACAGGAGAAGATTGTGATTTTTTTTTTACCTTACATTTCAAAAGAAAACAATTTCTTTGTAAGTTTTAAAAATTATCATTTTTATCTTTATTTGTTAAATACAAGTACCTCTGTGCATACAATTTAATTACAATAAATTTCAATGAATCCTTATTTCTTTTAAATATTTTGTTGTTGGACTGCAGATGTTACGATTTAATCAGTGTTTGAAAACTTTTATGATCCACCTATTATGTCTGCGCTTATTATGACTAAACAAATTCTGGATATTTTCCTGCCTTCATGGTTAATTTTCAACACTGATTAATTGTTTTAAGTTTAAATCAGTTACTGTTTACCTTCCTTTAAATTAGTTTATTATGTACCATTTCGACCAGGTATAGGAATGCCAACATCTATGCCCCAAAACATTGGTCCAGGTCCCAATGCAGTTCCAGGTCCAGGCCCTGTTCCAAGGCCCCCAGTAAATAGCTTACCATCTCTTGGAACAGCTACTGCTCCCAAAATTGGCATGCCTATGAATCAAGAGAGACTAGGGAACCGCACAGGTGAGAAGACTTCTGTGATACCATGAGTTGGTCATACGGTTATATCCATTTATTAATTTTTTCCTAAATATTTTTTTAAAAATTATGAATAAATGTGCAGTTTATCACTTGACAACATTGTCTCTAGAGCAAAACAGAAGGCAAACTTCTTTTAGGATACTAACTCGCATGTTTATGTAAAGTTTTCTTAGTAAAGTTTCTGGTGGAGGAATAAGTTCAGAATTTGAATTTTAAAAAAAATTATTTGTTCTAATTTCAATCAATACAGTAGCTCAATTATTTAAATGACATGTAGTTAAAATTATTATTTAAAAATCCATTGCTCTTTGAATTTTTGTGTGTCTACATCAGGCCAATCAGCTTTGTAACCCTTTGAAAGATTTAATGTGCTTCATTTACAATGTTTCTGCATACAAATTATCAGGCTTAACTGCACTATCAAATATCATGATTTCCATAAATATTCAACATATTGCAACAGCCAATTTATTTCTATAAGCCTAACTGTAATTTGATAACAGCATTTTTATTTTTTAAAAAATTTATTGTAGTAATTTAGATCCTTCTTAATGATTTTCTTACATTTTTATTTTAGTACAACCTGGCAATCCAGCTAGTGACATGTCCAACATCTTCCCTGAAATGACTCAAACTTTCAGCAAAGAAGTTGAGGACAGAGCCAACACATACTTCCAACAAATCTACAATCAACCACCTGCGCCAACTATGAGTATTGATGAGGTTCTGTCTATGCTTAAATCTTTCAAGGATGCTCAAGAGAAGACAAACAGGGTAAAATTTAAAAAAAATTAAATTGTTACAAGTACTTTATTAAACCTTTTGAAAACTCAAAGAAATTTGCAGATACTTCCAAAATCAAGATTTCATATTAATTTTAAAAAAACCCACTCTTTCTCTCCGGATCAACGCTCCCATCGTCGATTTTAAATGAGGTTACAGACGGATCGACTTGTTTGTTTCAAGTCTTTTCTTAGCTATTGGTTTTTAATTACTTTTAATAAAATCTAGATTGATTTCCCTTTGATAAACATTTAGATTTTCTTTCATTCAGCGAGTTTTAAAGATTTGATTGATTTCCCTTTGATAAACATCCGGATTTTCTTTCATTCAGCGAGTTTTAAAGATAGAACGAAGTGTTCAAAGTGGTTCTTTTGATTGTCCATTTTATTTTTGTTTACAAACATGAAATCTTGACCTGACCCATCTGGTGATCGATCTAATAAAGGTTTAAAATATTACTCTGATGATAATAAGTCAGTGATTTTATGATTTTGTATGCAGAGACTGATTCTGGTGAATCTTATGATTATAATTCTAGTAATTAGTAGTACTAGTGACGAAATAATGAAATTGATAATTCATCAGCTGATGAACAATCAGCCTCGCCCCAAGCTAAAGTGCCTTCTAGAAGAGCTATTGCTGTTCCCACTATAAATAATGTAGATTCTAATAGGAAAGCTGCTGATCTTAGCACTAAAACTGAGTGCAATTTCAGCATTTTTTTTTTGACTGTTTGTTTTACTTTGCTAGACACACATATTATTCACAAGCTTGTACTCTCAATAAATGAGTAGCTTCCTACAGAATTAAAATCAACACTCCAAGACTTATAGGAGCAAAGCATGTGCCTATTAGCTCCAAAAAGGACAGTGTGCAAACATTAAAGAGCAGGTCGAACTGTTCCGGTATACGTTGTGATGGATGTGAGTAAAATCCGCATGTCCATATGGATTGTTTTCATGCTTACCATAGCTAAATCCAGAGGAAAAGATATGACAAATTTATGGTAAATTTTCCATTTACCATAATAAATGTTAGCACTTACAAGGATACGGTGCAAATACTTTCTAATGGCAACAGATTGTTTCCAGTGGAAATGGTTTTTTCAGCTATTTTTTGTGTGGCGGTGACAGTGGATAATGTACTCTGGTGTTTTATTTTTTCCTTTTTTTGTATCATCTTTATCATTTGTGATGCACATATGGATATAGTTCAGGGGAAAAAAACATTTCTGTTACACTTTGGAAATTTATCTTTGTGTGACTTTGAATGAGCATTTTGTGAACATTTAGTGAGCTTTTTATTTAAAATTTGTATTTTCCTTAAATCCTAATCACATTAATAAATTAAAATTTAAGCCTCAGTCTGTATTTTCTGTAAAGAGCATGCATTCCCCTTTAATTCCATACCAGACTTAAAATTTTCTGATGAAAAACAAAAAAGTTATGATGGTTTAGAGATAACATAGTAAAGGGTAAAAAATATTCAAAATAGATAATTCCGTCAGAATGTGGAAATTAATTCCGGAGAGAAAGAGTTAAGTCAACTCAGCTGATAAAACATGTTACTGGCAAGATCATGTTCATATTATGAGAGTACCAGTTATGTCTTTATATTGGCTTTGTTTTTTTTTTGTTTTTTTGCTCAGGATGTCTTTGCATGCATGCTACGAAACCTGTTTGAAGAATACAGATTTTTTCCACAATACCCTGATAGAGAACTTCAGATCACTGCACAATTATTTGGTGGTATCATTGAACAGAATATTGTTACGTGAGTAATAGTATAAGTTGCAGTTTTAAAATGAACAGACATTTATCTGCTTGAAAATTATTTATGTATTTAATGTTTTTTCTAAAAACATTTTAAATTTACAGTATATAGTCGCATATAAGCCGAATTAAGAACTTTAAAATACAATACTCAAATTAGGGGGCCATATGCGCATAAAACATATTCATATCAAAATATATAGTTTTGTCTTAATATATACTTCGTTAATCATTAGTTGTGAACAACTTATGAGCGGTAGTTCAGATGTTATAGCAAACAATGTGGAAAGAGCAGAACACGTTTTTGTGTCTTCCAAAAGGTAAACAAACTGGTACGTAACATAAAAGTAAGCATTTTACATCTTTACAGTAACAAATTTCTATGAACCAAAAAATGGAGTAAAATTAGACAATTGTATGGTCGGCTTATATGCGTTTTTTGCAAAAACTGGCCTTTTTAAAGCAGTTTTAGGGGGTCGGCTTATATGCGATGTTGGTTTATATGCGAGTATATACGGTAATCCTTTCCAGAAGTGGACTTGTAATACAGTTTTATATTTATGATTTAAGTACAGTATTTCATTAAAATCTTCAAACTCTCGTTCATTAAAAAAATAAAATAAATATGTATTTGTGTTCTAAAATGTAAACATCATTGGTAGTATTAAGCAAGGGGTGTCCAACACAAAACTCTGTATTCAACTCTTCTTTAAAGTTCTTAAAAAATTCTTATAAACCACCACTTTCTTTGCATTTGTAGTCATGTTTGTGAGGCTCATCACTTGTTTAAAAAAAAAAGCAACTCAAGAAATTAAAAAGGCTCTTGTCACTGTTGTAAATACTAGTAGAGATGTTGCGGGTCAAATCACTGACTATTTTCATTCCAACGTTCAGCATATCCAAAAGAAAAAAAATAATAATTTCACAGAAATAAGATATACACTTTAAATCACTTCACTTAAATTGCAATTCCTATAATATGTTTACATCATCTATTTTCACCTCAAAATCTTATGTACAAAATCTTGATATAAAATCAGTTGTTATTTATATCTGCCCAACTTCAAAACTTTTGCTCCCACATGAACAATTCTGCTTGGCTATATGACCCACTACTCTTTATTACTATGCTGGTGGAATATATAATTTTAACAACATCAATTGTCTTCCATCAGGGGTTCATGATAATATCTGTGACACCCTCCCCCTTCATTTAAAAAATCACCAAATTTTTAAAATTATTTTATATCCGAGTCAAATAATCATAAACAAATTATACATATTAACTGATGTCACAAGACTTTTAAAAAAAATACTTTAGTTACTCAGATTTTAAAGGAACAAGCATTATTCAAGAAAAATATTTCTATACACAAACATGTATAATAATTCCATTGCAAAATATTATGAATTAGATTTCTAAATTGTCTCAAGCATATTCACAAACAAAATTGTTGCTAAGCTTTTTAACTCTTTTGATGTAGAATTTTTTTCATCGAAAAAATGTACATTTTTTTCAAAGACCAAAAAAGAGTGAGAGGTTGTATTTATTAAAAAACATTAAAAATATAATTTTTGCTTTATAAGACTAATCTTGTTGTCAAATGAAAGATAATTGAATGGACTATATGTTTGTAAACTTATTTATTCAGTTTACATAAAATAACAGAAAAGAACCATAAAATTTGAAAATATAGCCAAAACCATTTTCCCCCCAAACCCTAAGATGTAAGCGTATCTTCTCCATTAATTGACTTAATCTCAAATTTATAATCTTGCAACATTAAAACAAATTTCATAATCCTAGTATTATTTATTTTTTTGTTGAAATTTAATAGTGGATTATGGTCTACCAATACAGTGAAGAATGTTGTACCCAATGGATACTTTTGTAGTCAAATTATACCCCACACTCATTCTAATTCTATTAAGGCATATTTCTTATCAGCATCTGTCACTTTTCTGCTGAGGTATAATACTCCTTTATTAATATTGTTGTAGGATTAATGGTTTGCCATATGTGATTGGCTTTAAGATTGGTTCTGATTGAAATTTTATTTTTATTTGTTGTAAGGCTGTATCACATTCTTGATTCCATTCCACTTAATTCTTTTGATCCTTTTTTGTCAATTTAACTAGAGGGTGTAAGACCGGAGCAAAATTTTGTATGAACTGTCTGTAGAAATTACACAGTCATATCAATGCTCTTACTTCTTTCTTGTTTACTGGTTTTGCTAATTTTAAATTCAATATTGGGTGCTAGGTGGCCGAATGGTCTAAACTGAGCAAATCTCAAGTTGGTGGTCTGGAGTTCAATTCCAGCCAGAGCCCAGTCAAGCTATAACACCACCAGCACCCCGGGTAGATGAGACTCGTTAACCTTGGATGGCAACTCATCTAAGAGAGGGTAACTCTGAAATCAAACCCGGAGCTGGAGTCCCGAAAGGCGGATAACATTGATAGAATGAAACATTCCGGCAACTCCTGCGACGTCACTGGTGCCAAGCTGTATCATCCAAATGATGTTCCCTTGGGTTACCCAGAGGCGTGGAGAGAGGCGATTTGCTGTTGGGAACCAGCTTATAATCCTTGAAGTATAATCCCAGGCTATGTGGATTTCGTCCTCCGAAGCCCACTCCATCGTCACATAGTGACGGACGGATGCCAGAAAAAAATTCAATATTTCAATGGGTTTAATTTGATTATTTCCCATGGTGTAACCAAAAAAATTAAATCCTTTTAGACCAATTTCTACATTTGTCAGGTGATTACACGGAGACCATTTCATCATGTTTTTATTCTATTTTATACTCTTGACTAACATAGTTTTCAGTCTGGATGGAAGTATAAAGGTTACTTTGTTGTCCTCTCTTTAACCACTTTTTAAGTAAAATTTCTGAATCTTTAGGCACTGCATCTGGATAATTGCCAATTATCAGTGGTGTAATAGGTCTATCTATGACAACAGCTTGGATTTTTCTTTTCATCCAAAGAGTATCTAACTTAATTATTGCTGTTTGGTATTCAATTTATCCATCTCCTAACTTGATGTTTTCCTTTGGATTAGTGTATTGATTTTGTTTCGCTAGAGATCTGTCCACAAAAATTGTTGAGCATCCAGTGTCTCAGAGACATAATGTTTCCTGTTGACTAACATACCAGTTGTTTCATGTCATATTTCTCTTTAGACAGAAAGTACCAAGGATAAAAATCTGTCCCAATCTGCTTGTTTATCATTGACAACTTTCTTTAACATCACCTTAATTGATTGGTTAGCTCTTTCTGCTGCACTATTTGCTTGTGGTCTGGATATTGGTCTTGCTGCAAAGGTCTGTGTTATATTTATCATATGTGTGAAAACCTCAGTATTTTGCGACCTAAATTGAATTCCATTATCTGACGATATTATGGCAGTAAATCCAAATCTGGTAAAAACTGAAAGTAGTGTAGTGCAAATGCCCCCAGCTTTAATTTCTCTTAATGATATAGCCTCTCCATTATATTGCAAAGTCTATTATTGTTAAGGCATATCAGTTGTTTTTTTTTTCATGATGGTATCTGACCAAGTATATCTATTGCAATTTTGTTCAAATAGTCTGGTTGTCAGAATCATCTTTTGTGGTCGAGCCTTATGTTTTGAAAGAAGCTTAATTGTCCTTTGCTGTTCAATATAGTAGATACTGTGTGATGGTTATATGGTCTTCCTCTCTCTCATATGTATTTCTTGGTGGGCTGTTACTGTGTGAGATTCTGCTATTCTGTTGATTATATTCTTGTCTTATGTTTTGTTGATTTCTTTTCTGCTTTGCTGATTCCAATCACAAACCTATTTACTCTTACAATTTTTAAATCTATTTTTAGAACGCTAAAACATCTGAACTAATTTTAGTTCCCCCATCTTTCTTTCACCAATTGACAGCTTGTGATAGTTATCAGACTGTAATATCATCTTCTTTTAGAAATTACCCTTCTTGACTCCAGCTTAACTTGATTCCACTGGACACGCAATGCGAGTAGTTATTATATACATAATATAAACTGTTTTTTATTTACTATTAAGATTCTGTATTGTACGATTTTAGACCATATTGGATGATTTTAGGAGTTAACGGGTAAACAGGTCTGCAATCATGACTTCTACCTTTTTGATTAAACTTTTGTTCTTTTTGCAATTTCTTCTTGCCTTCTCTCCAGCAACTGAATACTTTCTGTTGGTATTGTTTGACTTAGTTCTTTTTGGTCGAACTATATCTCTTATGGTTTACTATGGCATACAACACATTTTCACCATCATTTTTGTTTGATAATTTTGAATTCGCTCGCTATCTTTGTTATCTGAAATGGCAGTGACCAATCCTTTCATGTCTGTTACTTAAAAATTTTTTTTTTTTATTAATGAAGAAATACAGCTCTTCATTTCCCAGATCTAGGACCTTGTCAATTACAAATAACTCTTTAGGGTTATCAATGTCACTTTGAGTTGGTCTCATCCACACGTTAAGATCTGCAAATAAATTATCTGTCATCGCTTTGCCTCAAATCTATGTGGTGAAATCTTTTTCTATTAAAGTCTTCAGTATTATTGAAGTGCCTTAACAGTTGCTCTTTCATAGTTTCATAGTCAATTATTTCTATGTTCTGGAGACACGCTAACAAGTCTCTACCTGAACCTGTCACAGCTGATAATAATTCTACTTTCCATTCACTTCTGTCAATTTCTTGCAAGCTGCACTGTGCTTCAAAGGTCAAAATAAAATAATCAAAGTTCTCCTGTCTATTTTCAAAGTTTTGTAGTTTTTTTTTTTTTCTGTTTGTTCTTGTTTCATTTACTTTTATAGGTGTTGTTTTATTTGAATTATTGGCTGATTCTAATTTCTTCATTTCTAATTTGTGAGCTCTTCTAGCAGCTCTTTCATATCTCCTTTCTTATCTTGTTCAATCCTCTTTATTTGTATTTTCTTATTCTCATGCAATTTTCTCTTTTTCAACAAATGCAGATGTGAGATGGTATAAATATGCACATAAGTCGAGATAAAAAAAAGTACAAATGAATTAATAATATTTATAAACATTTAGCACATTCACAGAACTAAAGAAAATCTATCAAACAGCATGTCCCATGTCACTAGTAGTCTAAAATTGTTAGGAAAAATAACATAAGAAATCACAACGTTTAATAGATGTCATGACCAAATGTTAATGAATAACACACCAATTATCAGATATAGGTTAGGCTATTGACAAACTTGACAGTCTAATAACAAAATTTTTTATTTTTTTTAGAAAGAGGGCTTAAATATGTTAGGTATCTTGTGTTCAGGTTTTACACTTCTTCCCATTTAATTAATGAGACACAAACAATTTGTGTAAATAAAACAATATAGGTTAAACTTAAATAATGGTTACACAGAATACAAATGCAAATGTTTTGGCAGTACAAAAAAAAATAATCAACAAAGACATATAATATTTGTGTCATTTGCTCCAAAAAAAAGGTTGGACACCTCTGTATTAAATATCATCCAGTGAATCTTGTTAGTTATTTCACCCAAATGAAAGATGTGAGTCTTTTTCTTCCAGATATTGGACATTAGGCATTGCCTTAAGATATATACTTGAGGCTTTGAGGAAACAGCCCAATAGTAACATGTACCTCTTTGGTGTAGCTTCCCTTGAAAGGTTTAAGACTAAGTGAGTATTAAAGCTTAGAGTTTTTTGTTTTAGAGCAAGATATATAAAAAGAGTATGTAAGAAGAAGTAAAATGTTTAAATAAATAGAAGACGTAAATAATACTTTTGACAATCTTTTTAAAAGGTTAAAAGAGTATCCACAATACTGTCAACATCTGGCACAGATCCCACACTTCTCGCAGCTGCCACCACACCTCATTGAAGTAAGTATTTTGTATATTTTAATGAAAGATTGGGTCCAGTAATAAGTTATTGAAAATGTATTCTTTTATGTGCTGAGTTCTTTTTGACTGAGTTTTTTTGCAAAAAAAAAAGGAAAAAAAAGAAAAGATTTTTAAGTACTAGAAAATAAACCACCCATCTATAGCCAATGATTTCTTTTAAATTCTTTTCACAACTTTTTTCAGTATGTTGAATTTGGATCTAGATCTCAAGAACCACCACACCCTCAAATGCCTCAAGGCATGCTTAGTGAAATCAGTGGGCGTCTGACTCCAGTTAGTATGTTTCATGGTCTTGTCAGACCATCAATGCCCTTAGATGGACAAAATGTTCCTACTTCAGGCTCAGCTCTATCGGCATCCGCACTGCCGGTAACAGCTACACCCTCGACACCTACACCTATTTCAGCAGCCCCAAGAGGAGCCACTTTTGCAAAGGTAATTCTTAAAACTGCACCATCAACATTTAATCAGGCACATGCAGATAGACAGAACACTTAAAACCCATAATTCTACATACATTTTATTACTTCTATTATATGATCACTGCCTGTTTCAAGTAACATACATTGGTGTTTTTGTATTCTCTTAAATGTGACAGTAATATACCTTTTTTTTGTGTGTAATTAATTTTATTATTTTTTTTTTTCAGCCATCAATTGCTACAGCTACAAACATTGATACTCTGCTAGCAGGGCAAGGGAATAATGATGTTATGGTTCCCTCTGAAGCTATTCAAGACAAAGTTTTTTTCATTTTCAACAATTTGTCCCTTGCTAATATGAATCAGAAGGTAACAGTAGTTGACTTTGGTTAATCTCTTCATGATATTTAATCTTTTTCTATTTTGTTAACTAATTTTAACAGGTTCATTGTTGAAGTTGTTATTATTTCATTAAAAAAACAACTTATGTGATTATTTTTAATTATTATAAAATAACAGATAGTGAAATTAACAACGTTTAAACTGAACACTTAATTATAAATTAATTTTTACAGGCTGAAGAGTTGAAAGAAGTCATGGGCAGTGATTATGTTTCTTGGGTAGCTCAGTATCTTGTGATGAAACGTGCCAGTATAGAACCTAATTTCCACACTCTCTACTCAAACTTTGTAGATGTATTAGGCATAGAAACTCTTACTTCAAAAGTTATTACTGAAACATTTAGAAACATCAAGGTTTGTTTCACTTTTATTTATGCTAAAGAACTAATATATTAAAATAGACATCACCTTCTTAGTTAAAATTAATGGTTTGATAATTTCAAGTTATTAAAGTAACATTTTCATCCTCACATCTTTTAAGTATAAATATTTGTTTCTGGTCATTGTCTTTTACTGTTAAAATGTTTTGAAATCTCTAGTCATTTGTGATTACTTTATAAATTATTTCAAATTAAAGGATTAACAAGTATTGCTTTTTGGTGACTAAGTCTGAATTCAAAGCATGTCCAATGACAGCTGTATTAATTTTTTTTTAAAAAAAGGTCTTACTTCGTAGTGACAAGGGAGTAGCAAATTTTTCTGACCGCACACTGCTCAAGAACTTAGGCCACTGGCTTGGTATGCTGACGCTAGCCAAATGCAAACCAATTCTTACAACGGTGAGTTGTTAAGAGTTTGTTACTTGTGTCTCTTCCTTTGCCACAAATAATGTAAAACTTATTTAGAACAAGTATCACACCTATTTTAAAAAATATGTTGTTTAATCATGGAAATAAATAAATCTGAATACATCCTCATACATAAGGTGCTAGGTGAATCCACATAACTTGTTCAATACATTCTTTTAAATGCAAAATCAATGAATTATGGGAGCATACAAAAAATATTGATTTCAAGAATATAAAAATATATTTTAAATCATGAACCTAAAAAGCTAAATAGTGTTACAGCCAAGATATAAACCAACTTTCCCAGAGATTTTCAGAAAAGATTTTCCTTAAAAAAGCAAATTTATGCACATCATACCCCAAAAATAAGAAGGTCCTTGGTCCCAAATACCTTAAGAATTGTATTTATTTGTATTTTAAAATGAAATTCATGAATTACCTTTATGTGTGTCACGACCATGCACATATTTTGTGCCAGACTTTTGGTTTTGTGTGACAAGTGAACATGCCATGTCGAAAATGTTTTTAATGCTGTTTTAAACCCTTGTTCATGCTTTTCATTCCCCTTATAAAGCATGGGCCTACTCTCACCACGGTGAGTTTGAAGTAGCCTTAATTAACAATCCCTGTATCAAAAAATTTACATATTAAAATAGTTTTAAATGTTAGTCTTGTGGTGAAGAAAAAAATTGAGGTGATTTTCTGTTTTATGTCAGCTTTCCAATTTTTTTAGTTTGGAAAATGTACATTGTTTTTTTTGTTTTTAAGTGAATGAATGGTTTGCAAGCATAAAAATAATGTACCTTGTATTATTAACTGTTTTAGCAGGATCTAAATCTTAAGGCGTTGATCTATGAAGCCTACCAAAAGGGCAATCAAGAACTTCTCTATGTTGTTCCTTTTACTGCCAAAGTCTTGGAATCATGCGCAAAAAGCAAGGTAGCGTTATCTTTCAAATTAAATATCTTACATTGCATTATTAAGAACATTGCTATAAAATTATTGAAAATTGTGTAGAAAGGAGAATAGGATGGTTCTTCTCACTTGTGTAATTAAAGATCAATAATTTAAAATTAATTTTTTTTTTTTTTAAATAAAATGTTTCAATAAATACAACAATTAGAAAAGTCAAAGCCAGATGTTTAGGAATGTTTTAATGTAAGAAAATGTTATAATCAAAATTTTTATCTCCAATTTAGATTTTTTGTAAGCCCAACCCTTGGACTCTAGCCATAATGAATGTCCTTGCTGAACTTCACCAAGAGCCTGACCTGAAGCTAAACCTGAAGTTTGAGATTGAAGTATTATGTAAGACACTGAACATTGATATATCAACAGAGTTGAAAGCAACTAAATATTTACGAGATCCAACCAGAATGGCAACCTTGGAGCATCAGCTCTCACCTGTCAAACCACAGGAGGAGCCTGTCCCATCAGCAGGTTTGTTTCATTATTTTAAATATGAAGTTTAAAAAGTAAATATTAATTTTATAAATTTAATTTTGTGTATCCCTTACAGTAAATTTTATGACTACCTGATCTATTAAGAGCAGAGCTAATGGTCCCAACACATTGTTTCTTTGGTGTAAAAAAATTCCAGCTGTCATTTACGTACCTTGGGGTAGACATGACACTGCAAATTTTGTAACAGAATGCAGATTTCTATAATTGTATTATTTCTAACAATTTATTACTAAATAACTGCTTATAGAGTTGATCATATGATGAATGTTCAAAAAAATTATCATTACTATTCGAATAGTAGGGAAAGATTTAAGTATTGAGATCAATAACTATTATTTATTTATTATATTTTTATAGTTGCTCAGCCACCAGCAGGTCTCCCAATGCCACCAATACCAGGGATGCCACCTATGCATAGCCTCCCCCCTCCTCCTCCAAACAATATCTCCATCCCACCTCCACCACCTGTCATTCAACTCTCCACTGGGCCTGCCAACACTACATTGCCCCTTCAACCACCAAAGTTCAATATTCATGACATCAATACCAACACCAATCTGGCATCATTCCTCCAGCAATATATTGTTATTAATGAGCAGGTATGTCAGCTTGTGTTAAATGTGAAATAATTTTTTATGCATTAATAAATTAAAATTAAAATAATATAGTAGAGAAAAGATTAAGAGATTTTTAAAATAATAATATTAAAAAAAATGTTGTTTGTCATCAAATTATAAACTATTTTAAATTCATTCAGAAATTTTAATATCTTTTTTGTTTTCATGATTTTTCCAGGTGATATACATTCAGGCCAATGTCTCTTTGAGAAATAGTGTTATTGGAGCTATTGAAAGTACAATGCAAGATTTTATTGTACCAATCACAGACAGAGCTATCAAAGTTGCGGTTGCAACAACTGAACAGATTGTCAAAAAGGTAGTTATAGATACCTTTATATCACACTTGATGGATGTCGTTATAGTGTTAAGGGTGGGCTTAGCACCTTATGATGTGTGTCAAGCAGAAACACAGAATGCACATAAGAATTGTAACTATTTTATCAAGTTATGAAATCTAAATATATTTAGGATTTTTTTTTTTCAGTATCTAGTAATGTTAAAAAATACATGAGTTACTGGCTATATAAATTGATTTAAGAGGCGAGAAAGTACTTTTTGTTTATCCTACACCAGCTTCTGTGTAACATTTCAAAAAGAAAGTGTAAGAAATATTTTTATGCAATAATTTAACTTAGACTAATAGTGCATTGTAATTTCTATCTAAAGATTCAAATCCAAGGCTTTTTAAATAGCTTGCTTATGTGGTATCAAACATAGGCCTAAAATATGAGACTTCATTTAAATCATTATCCATTAAGATAACATGAAAGTGAGAAACAAAACATTGTTTTAAGTTTTTTGAAACTCTTTAATCAGCCCTTAGTTTTTTGGGCCACATGTTTTTTCTAGTAGTGCTGCAGTTACTGAGAAAATATATATTTTAGTATTTGTTACTTTGACAAACAAAATTATTTCCTTTCATATATTTTACTTTCCACATTAAGGGTCTCCAAACAAGCCTTTTGAAATATTTTGAAAATATTTTTTGAAGAAAAACAAAATTCACTACATTTCCCCTTTAGTATATCTATATATACATGTACTATTTGCATTTAAAATACATTTTTAAACAATTTTTTTGAAAAGCAGGACAAAAAATATATAATAAGTTCACTTTCTCCTTGTTTGGGAACCCATAGTTCTTCATGGTAACTATGTTTTAAAAAGGAAGTGTCTCATTTTCAGGACTTTGCCTTGGATTCTGATGAAATTCGAATGCGAACTGCTGCTCAAGCTATGGGTCGGAATGTTTGTGCTGGTCTTGCTCTGATTACTTCTAGAGAGCCAATGGTTCAGCAACTCAAGTTAGCCATCCAGCAAGCTTTGGTCAGCAACATTAGAGGGGTACGTTAATGATGATAAGACATGTATATAATCAGGAAAGTTAGAGCTGTTAAATTTCTCTTGTTTATCAACTTATTTTCTAAAAAAATATATTTAAATAATGACATCGTTTTAAAAAAAATCTAAATTCATCAATAACAATACTGAAATTTATATTTGAAGGCTCTGTGTTATATATTTGTGACTATAGTTCTCTTCTTACATACAGATTAGTAAATAAAAATACCTGTCTTGGTAAATCTGATACACATATCAAGAATAATTTTTTATTATAATTTTTTTTTTGTCTCAACCCTTAAAGAAAAAACCCCAAGAGACTACAAAATTAATTCTGAAGCTTGAATCAATGTTCTCATATAATGGGGACATATGAGGATTGTCCATATTTATAGAGTTAAATAACATCAACAATATTTAATTTCCATGACCACATTAAATTCTTGCTAGTAATTAAATAAGATATATGTATATTGGCTTTTTGGCAATTTTATTGATTGAGTGAATTGAGATATGTTGGGGTCCATCTTCTCAGTTGTTACTTTCGTGTGTACTTTATAATCTTTAACCTTTTTTGTTGTTAATAATGCTGGTCAGTAATTTTACAACCCATAACTCTAAGGATGGCTATCTTTGATGCTGAAATAGGCCTTTTGGGGGTATCTCAGCTGCCCCTTAATATAACTGTCATAGTTTCTTTTAGGGAGGCTTTGGAGGGAAAAAAGCATAGAAATTACATCTTGGGGTTATCATATCTTTTAATTAAAATAACATCCATCTGCCATAAATAGCATGTTTGCTAGCATTGTTTTTTTCTATGAAAGAGCTAAATAGAAAACATAATTAACTCATTCCCGACGGTTGCGACTAAATGCGTCCTCGGGGGGGTTCCTCCTGATGCGTCCAAATGCGTCCCGGCGCATAGCGACACACTTCTCTTATTTTTAGTTAAAAATAGCAATGAAATCTCGCACCCCTCGAGACTTCCGGCTATGGCGTGATTTCTGCATGATTTTAATTTAGAAACCGGAAGTTTTTATCTTGTTTCATTTTAAAACTACGTGTGCTTTAGTACGGCGCGTCTATATGTACCATGCGTTCGTCCGAGGTGCCGAAAATCGATTTTTTTGGCCATTGTTCGTTATTTTTCCCCCGCTAATGTTATATTTATATTAAACCTTATTCATTTTTTGTTGCATTTGTTCTTAATTCATAATTAAATAATATTTAGCAACTTAAAAAAATATTTTAAAAATACAAATCAATTTCAAAACTGAGTTGCTTCCCTTTTCTCAGGAAAATAAATTAAGTCCGGAAGCAGCGCTGCCGGAGGGAATGAGTTAAAACATGAAATCAGGAGAAAAGGGTGGAAGTCTAAATGTAGAGGGTAAAAGATTGAGTGGAAATGGTTGTAGAGTTTTATTAGAAACAAAAAAACAAAAAAGGAATTTATGATGTAGACTATATCAAAATTTACTCAAGTTTATATTTTATATTTTTTTTTTAGCAACAAAATGCTTCACAGTTGAAAACTATAGAAGATGCAGCTGTCATATTAGCCAATGACAATGTTGAGATCTGTGCCAACTATATTCAGAAACTAGCTGTTGAGAGAGTTGGTGCTGAAATGGACAAGAAACTTGCAACAGTAAGCATGCATATTTTGTTTGATGACCTAGAGAATTTTTCCTAATTGTAACTGTTGTATTTTTTTAAAAATGTTGCTGCAAGATCTAATGCTGATTTGTAATTTAAAACAAATAAACTGCTCTAAAGTTAAATTTAATGCACCTTTTTCAGGAGTATGAAGTTAGGAAACGTCGCCGCCAGGAAGGAATTCGTTACTATGATCCTCAAGTTTTTACTTACCAGTCAGAAAGAATGCCAGAGCAGATCAGTCTAAAAGTAAAACATGAATAACTGTTTCCTCTTTAGTCTTTGAATTTAAATACTGTATTTTCCGGCATATATGCCGACTGGGCGTATAAGACGACCCCCTACTTTCCTGTTAAAATCTAGGGTTTGGGCTGTACACCAGCTCATTAGACCCCCAGCGTATAAGAAGACCCCCAACTTTTGAAAAGATTTTTATGTGTTAAAAAGTCGACTTATATGCCGGAAAATACGCTAGATGTTTTGTTATATTTTCCTCAAAATAAAATAAGGTTCCAAAGACAGCTTATTATTTTACTTAAGGGCTGTACGATTTTTATAATAGTAACTAAATTGCAGATGTTATTTTAAAAAAGTAAACCCAATTTTGCTCATTTTAAAAGCATAGCAGTCATGTCCCCTAACATCAAATTATCAATATACCTTTTAAAATAAATTCTCACTTTTTCACCAGACAAGAAATCATGCACATATATATTTTATTTTGTTTTTCATAGTAATAATAAAATAGTATTTAAATTTTTTTTTAAATAGGTTGGCTCAGTCACATCCCAGCAACTGGCTGTTTATGATGAGTTTTCAAGGAACATCCCTGGATTTCAGCCACTGACAGATATAGTTCCTCCCTCTGGTTCAAGGCCGACCACTTCAGTAATTAAATTTTAAAAATTAATTTTATTTGAAAGTTCAAAATTTTTATTTTTTGTAAATTAAAAACACCTCTGGGAAGAACTTTATTAAAATTGAGAAGCTTTTAAAAATATGATTATTTTAATGGCCTTTCTTAAGTAAAGCAATCATATTTCCTTTGTTTTAATGAAACTAAACACATATTTTTTTACACATCAGTCAAAATTAGTAGAATTTTAATATAAGGAACAAAGAGAGGAAATACTTTTTGTCCCCTTTTCTTACAGATGAGTGGACAAGAGGAACTCATTCATCTTTATGAGAAAATGGTCTCTGAGATTGAGTCTCATATGCATCTGATGGCAAATCCTACATTGTTCATTCCTCATCTGCAACAGCTGATGCAGGCTATAAATGTGGCCCGTAACACCCTGGACAAGAACACAGCTACTCAACTAGTGCAGAAGGTATTAGTTACATAAGAGCCCTTTTTAAGACCTTGTTTCTGTCTTATTTCTCTTAATTATTATTTTATACTTTTCTTTTAACCATTTCATTACCGCTGGTTTTTGGGGGCATCGATTTTTGCTGACTCAGCAATAAAAACCTTAAAAGAAGAAACTTTCTGTATTTTTCATGCTCTATCTGATTCACATATTAACTTCTCTATAAATTAACAAATTGCTATATAGAGCTTGTTTACATAATTTTTCTCGTGCGTGCCCTCTGATTGACCCCGCATGAGACGCTGTGTTCACAGAGGGGTGTTGCTTAGTCGTTTGATCTGTCGTGTTTATGCCGCCAGCCACTAAAAATAATTAAGCTGTTCAAAATAGTATTTTGTAGAATGAATGTGATTGTTCTAGAAACGTCATAAGTCTTTCTGGAAGGCAGGGCTTACGCGACCTATATAAGGGATTGACAGGCACGGACGGAGGGACGGAGATTCAGATAGATATTATTAACTTTACGAGGCGTGTATTATTTCTTGTGTATTTGTGTGCTCATACTTATATGCGTTTATTTCGCATTCATCATTATTTATTGGCACATTATTCTGTGTTAACTGTGTACCGGTACAAGATCTACCATACTGTAAGTTGAAGATTGTAATTATATTTTCTTTTCTTTTGTAATTATATTAAGACTTAATAAATCTTATTAATTGTAACTAGAAACTGCTTTGGGTGTCGTATCTTTAATATTGTTGATTCTATGGTATCGTCCTTTGTTAGGCACTGTTTACAACGAGCCAATTAAAATAGGAGATTAATTTCTTCCAATACAAGTCAGTTCGTAACAGAATAAAGAAATATATAGCATTGAAATATGACATCGAAGTGACGTTCTTGGTATTTCAGAAAAGTTCTTTGCCTCTTTGTTATGACGACAATGTGACGTCCTTGGTAATTGAAAGTGGGGGATCTTGACGTCGTCGTGACTTCGCGTTGACGTCATCAGTAACGAAAAGGTTAAAAGCATATTTAAGCATTTTTATATTTATTTAAAGGTTATACATATTTATTAAAAGTATTTTGTCACTACATAATTTCAGGCTGTGGAGGGGCTCACTGAACAGTATGCAATGACAAATATGGCTGATGGCGAAACACTACTTAGATTTAGAGAATGCCATTTGCTTGTACTAAAGACCTTTGCTGAACACAGGGCTTTTGGTATGACTTGGATTGCCAAGGAAGTTACAAGGTAAAATCTAAATTAATTTAGGCATATTTAATATGCCTTCATTAGGAGTCTATCAACATTTGGTAACATACTTTAGGTAATACACATCTTTCTTCTCTATTAATAAGAGTTTATTTCAATTCACTGCATTTTTTATTCATGCATATTTAAAATTAAACAAAAATATTTTTTACTATTAAAATATATTTTTATACATTAATAAATAACATTAATTTCTCTTTTTATTTGCTTAGATGCCTTATGCAGAGTAGAGAAGACAATCGTTACAATTTGGATGTTGTTGAGTTGCTCATTAGAAATGGATTTGTCCACATGCCTCAATATGATGTCTACTTGTCCTCTTTAATGGAAAACGGACTTAATCAGATTGGCATTAATTTTACTACCCAGCTAATGCAACGCTTGTGTGTGGAAGATAAGACTCGTGCACCTCAACAGGTGATCTGTTCAGAGGTGAGTTGGTTTGTAGGTGTAGGTATTCGAAATGAAAATTTCATGAAAATAAATAAAATTCAAATATTCCCATAATTAGAGGTTGGCTTAATCAGAACACAACCATGAATTTGATTTCTCAGTCTCAAATTTAAAAAAAAAAGTTATGGATTCCTCAGAAACAGCATCAAATTTTAGAGGATCTGAAAGGGATAGTTTTGACACCCGCCATCTTCTAAAATAAATAATTTTAAACACGTTGAAATCTCATACACACAGCCAATTATACAAACTTAATTTTTTTAAGGGTTGTCACTAAGACAGACCTGCTTACGATTTTGGCGTACAATGTTACATTTTGAGGTGTATACATTATATATACTTTGATTTTTTTTTACTATTAAGATAATGTATCGAACGATTTTGTGATGATGTAAACAGGTCTGCTAAGATGTAAATTTAAAAAAATTATTCTTAAAAAAGTGAAAAGAAGCAAATTGAGAAATTATTAACAGGGAGACAAAAAGTCAAGTTAGTTCATTTTTAACAATTCATAGAAATAACTAAATCATTTAGTTTGTGAAATATCTTAAATAAGCATGTTCAACATATTGTATAAACTGATAATGTTTTTAATTGGAAATAAACTCAGGTTAAAAAATACAAATAATTTTTAATTCAATAGCTGGTGGTGACTGATTTTTTAAAAAAATATGAATTTGATGAAGTTTTTCTGAAGCTTGGGGGATTAGTTCCGTAAACTAATTTGCAAAATAGTAACATTTTTATTATAAAACAGATAGGCTTTCAGAATATGTACTTTTGCACGCTTTGAAATGGTGTCAACAGCTAAAAAATATTTTTTTTATTTTAAAATCAATGTTTTTAAGCATACATTTTTGTTTTACATCTTGCAAAAAATATGTCAGAATAAAGATCTACATCAGTACTTTCTAAAAAAAATTTCTTTCAGTCCAACAAATATATGGTAAAAATCACCTGGCAGTTAGTGAGAAACAATTTTTTAAAAAAATAAAATGATCCACGCAAAAAAATTTTCAGTGGCTCATTTAGAATACCTCAAACATGTTGATATAAGTTGTTGCAGGGAATTTCTCCAAAGCTTGGGCTTTCAAAGTAACCCACATAAATGATGAACTTATTTATAGCAAAACTTTATTTAATCTTGAGAATAACCAAACTCCACCTTAACAAGCAGAAATGTTAATTTTGTACTACTTGTGGAGATACTTTGAAAAGTATTTTCTAATCCTGAAACAAATTTTACATTAAACCATTGTTCAAGATTTTATTTTTGTTATTTCCTTTTGTAGTCTGACTTCACCAACAGCATTGAAGCCCTGAATATGATCGGTTCTCGCTCACGCCAAACTCAGCCAGACAGCCTTCCTGCCCTCATCGAATCTTTGAGGGTGGGTGGCAGCTCTTCATCTGATCCTTCCAGTCTTATGGACCGTGTGCCAGGAAGTGTGACCTCAATGATGCAAACAGGAATCACACAAGCTAGGGAATTTGATGACCCCGCTGGCCTTCATGAAAAAACTGAATACCTACTTCGTGAATGGGTCAACATGTACCACTCACCTCAGGCAGGCCGAGACAGCTTTAAGGCATTCAATGCTTTTGTGCAACAGGTAGTAAAATTGGACCTCAAGTTTTAAATTAATCCTCTTAACGGGGATATCAAATAATTATTTTAACAAATGATAATTTTATTTGAGACAAGGTTTCAACATAATTTAAACATACTAAAATAAAACATCACGATATTCCAGATGCACACACAGGGCATACTTAAGACAGATGATCTGATTACACGCTTCTTTCGACTTTGCACTGAAATGTGTGTTGACCTCTGCTACAGAGCTCTGGGTGAGCCAGGACAATCAACAACCATGATTCGAGCTAAGTGTTTTCACACTTTGGATGCATTTGTCCGCCTGATTGCATTACTTGTTAAGCACTCTGGCGAGACCAATACAGTCACAAAGATTAACCTGCTTAACAAGGTGAATAAAATAAGAAGTGAACATTGTAATTAAAAAAATAAATCTCTTTAACTTTTCTTTGTTACATTTTATCTTCTATAAAATTAGAAATGTATGAGGAGAATATTGCATCCAATGGCAACATGTTTTTCTATTGGCATATGTAATATACCTGATAAAATTTAGACAAGTGGGAGTCCTTTTTTGAATATTTCTAATTGGACCAGAATTTCAAATCTTATCTTCAGGTGCTGGGCATAATGGCGGGTGTGCTGCTGCAGGACCATGAGGTGCGTTACACTGAGTTCCAACAGCTCCCGTACCACAGAATTTTCATCATGCTCTTCATCGAACTAAATGCTCCGGAGCCTATTTTGGAGGCCATTAACTTTCAAGTTCTTACAGCTTTCTGGTAAATTTTTAATTAACACTGATTTAAATTCTGCAAGGAACTGTTCAATAAATTCTTAAAGCTGTAACTTTAATGCATAATCTTTGATTTTGTACTAAAATAACCCCTTACATTTGACTTCATTATGCTTTTTTGATGGGTTTCTTTCCCCCTAAGTTCTTTCCCATGCCCTCATTATAACAGGTAGACTTCTGGTTTTGAAGGAATTTGAATCCTGGGCTATGTCAATGATTTTGTGCCCGAAAATGTACTTGGATTATTGTATAGTTACAATTTATTCATAAGCTTCTCTATTTACGGTTGCAATGAACTTTGAACATTTTTTCGCTATCCTAATAATGATTTTTTAAAATAATAATTTTATCCTCAGTCATGTTTTTCATATCCTCCGTCCTGCCAAGGCACCAGGGTTTGCTTATGCATGGTTAGAGTTGATTTCTCACCGTGTGTTCATTGGCAGATTGTTGGCTCTCACTCCGCATCAAAAGGTTTGTTTGGAATCTCTATTGGAATTTAATACCAAGCCAGATTTTCAAGAATTCATGTTTCTGTTACAAAATCAGAATAGTTGATAGATTTTTTTATAGATATTTAAGTATACTGATGCACTTAAGAAAAGAAAATAGATGCTCAGATCATTATAATTAAAAGAAAATAGTGGTACAAATAATAATAAAGCTATAGTTCAACTCTGCATTTGAATTATCAATTTTTCTTGGCTGTGTCGGTATATAAATATAAGTATGTATTTTTTTTTTACTCTTTAAGTTGTTGATGCTGTTCTAAATGTAGATTACTTATCTCATTAAGGGCTGGGGCTTTTATGCTCAACTGCTGGTAGACCTTTTCAAGTTTCTGGGTCCTTTCTTGAGAAATGCAGATATGACTAAACCAATGCAGCTCCTCTACAAGGCAAGAACCAGTGTTTAGAACATATTAAAAAATATTAGTTAAAGAGTTTTGCTTTCATAAAAAAACAACAAATTTTAGATATTTTTGGATAATGTCTAATCAACAAATTTGTTTTTCTAATTTCAGGGGACCTTGAGGGTTCTGCTGGTTTTACTTCATGATTTCCCTGAATTTCTCTGTGACTATCACTACACTTTCTGTGATGTTATTCCACCCAACTGTATTCAGATGCGCAACCTTATTCTTAGTGCTTTCCCTCGCACAATGAGACTGCCAGATCCATTTACTGTCAATCTTGTTGTGGAGCACCTGCCTGATATCAACAAGGCACCTAGGATTTTAACAAATATTGTCTCACTTATTCAGCCAGCTTCTTTCAAAAAGGTCAGAAGTGGTATATAAACATAATTTAACTGTGATAATGTATAATCTGTTAAAAAAAAAAAATGCTGCATAGAAATTATATAAATGTATGCAAGAAAGGCTGTTTAATTTTTTTTTTCCCCCACATTTATAGTTTAGTGAGATTTATTTATTTTAACGAAGATTGACAGTATAATACAATCTCCAGCTGTTTTATTTTTTCCATTAAGAATTTATATTTAATAGATTTATATGAAACTCCTGAATATATCCGCAATGTTTAAGAATCATAAAACCTCGGCACAATTAACTCTTTGGTAGCTAATTGATAATAATTTGCAAACTATATTTCAGGATTTGGACTCTTACTTAAAGACAAGATCACCAATAACGTTTTTGTCTGAGCTAAAGAGCAATCTGCAGGTACTGCCACCCAATGCTGTTATCTATGGACTTTATGTCTTGTCTCCTATTCAGAATACTTTTAAGTAAAAAATAATTCTCTTTAACACAACTCATAGTGCATTTAACAAATATCTATCCATCTTAACCTCATTACCCAAAGATTTCATATTGACATTGGAATCATTAATTATCAATTACACCATGTTGTCAACAACAAAAAACTATTCCAAATCCTTGTGATACACTTATAAATACGTAGTAAATATTTACTATTTAGTCAATGTCAGCAGCAAAAAAATACATTTAGATTTATAAAATACTTATTTCTCATTTTTGATCTTTCCTTTAAATTTACTCTTGATAAAGTCTGATACCTCTTACTCTATAACATTGCAACTGCTTTTATCTTTTGTTATTTTCAGGCAAATCCTCAGGGAAGCCGCTATGATATCCCTCTGATAAATGCATTGGTGTTGTATGTGGGGACACAAGCAATCCCACTGCTTCAGAATAAGGGAGTCAGCATGAGCACCATAGCACCAAGTTCTCACATGGATATCTTCCAAAACTTGGCTGTTAATTTGGACACTGAAGGTAGCATTTTTTGCAACTTGGATTTAAATTAAATTCCATATCAGACATTTTAAAATTCTACATGTTTATAATCAAATAATATTTAATTAAAAACTTTACGAAAAATGTACCAGCATGTTTTTAAAAAAAATAAGATATTTTCTTTCACTTTCAAAAGTGGTAAAAATTGTCCTTGTGGGCCTCTTATCAAATAGAGAGGGTTTATCTAAAGTAAGCACATTAAGGATTTAAGATTTATCATACATTAAAAAAAATTCTGAAATAATTATGATGGCAACTTAAAAAGATAATCATTTCTTTTCTGCTTTCCATATTCATTATTTATTCTTTCTTATTAATATTTTAAATATTGGCTTTGGTTTCAGGACGCTATCTATTTTTGACTGCTATAGCCAATCAACTGAGGTACCCTAACAGTCATACCCACTACTTCAGCTGCACTCTCCTATATCTGTTCAGACAGGCCAATGATCAAACTATTCAGGAGCAAATAACAAGGTAAACCTTTATTATTCTATTTTCTGACAACTTTTAAAAAATACTTCTCTACTTTATAGTTTCAAAATCTCATCAACAAAGAGTTGGTAAAGAAAAAAATAAATTTCAAACTTAAACCCAATCAGTGCTGAAATGTAAAAAAAAAAAAAAAAAAATTAAAAATAATATAATTAGGGTCTTATCAGCAAGATGAAAATAAATTTTTAAAATTTCATTCAACAGGGTGCTCTTGGAGCGTTTGATCGTCAATCGACCTCATCCATGGGGTTTGCTCATCACCTTCATTGAGCTGATCAAAAACCCAAACTTCAAGTTCTGGGAGCATGAGTTTGTGCGTTGTGCTCCTGAGATTGAAAAGTATGTAAGAACAGGCAATATTTCATGGAGCGCTGGCAGTAGTGCATAAACTTCCAAAGATGATGTAAAGAATTTTAGTAAAATATTTACCTTTTTTTAGAATGCTTGATAATACACTTTAAAATATGCTTCTTCTACTTCCCTACTTTCCTGGGAAGCCCTAATCCATCAAGTATGGGTTATTATCCGTATTACCTTGCATAATCATACAATGCTTACTCTATACTATATATTTTTATTATTGAAAGAGGGATTTGGGGGTTTTAATTCAGAGAACTGTGATTCTCTTAAATTAATTTTTTTTAAAGCTTACTTGTGGAAATAAAACTTGACATGTATTTTACTAAAAATCAAGCCATTGAGATCAGGGTTAAAATATGTTATGAATACTTGCTTCATCAGTGGTGCCAGTGCTCCATACTTTCAGCATTTTTCTCCTTTCTTTTCTTTTAAATTTTAATTTTTAAAAAACATTTTGTGGCTTGGTTAATAATGGCCACAACTTTCTAAATAAAGTTCATTTTAAAATTATTCTGTAACCAGTATTTTATATTTTTTTCCACTTAAGAAGCCACAGTTATAAGTTTGTTTACTAGTATGTCTTTGACATCATTTTGTCTTTGAAAGATGATGGTGTAGCTTCTTATCTGGGCCTCAGTGAGCACCTGAAGATTCTAATCTTTGAGTTGAAGTCTGCTACACTTTCAGCAGATTAACATCAGACTTTGACATCACTTCACCATCTGTAATGATCCTCAGCTCAGGGTATCTTTAAAGCTTTCATGCACACGCCGTTGTTGTCAACCTGATTCTTTGTTGGGAGGAGGCCTGGGTCCACTCTCTTGATGTGGCAGTCTCTTAGGGTGCCTCTTGCTACTCAAGTTGGCAAATTCCAGAACCTCAGTGTTGGACACTTTTCCCCCATTCAAATGTTTGTGGTTCATGGCTCACTCCCCAGTTTGGTCATTCCAGACCCACTTCTTTAATATGACCTTTGGCAATCCTGCTGTTCACCTATTTGTTAATGGAGAGTGAGCTGGAGATGGTTGACTCCTGACATGTCCCATGAAACTGCTGCAGTGAGCCTATCATGGCTAGGTTCTTGAAGCCCCCAGGGGCTTTTCTATGTGAAGAAGGGCAATTTCCTAGTAATTATAGCAGTTGATAAGGTCTTATAAGGGAATTCTCACAAGTGATGCAGTTGTTTTTTCTGAGCCCTCCCGTTTTTTCTGAGCTCTCCCATGTTCGGCTGGTAGGTCTGAGTTGGTCTTCTAGGAGTCTGCGACTGTATATTGTGTTGAATACAGCTAAAGATCCAGAAGCATTTGCAGTTGTTGCCTCAGTCTGTGATGACTTTCCCATTTTGGACTTGATTTGCAAAGTCTTGATTCCTATTAGAAACTCCTTACAATGCTGTTAATAGAAACTGTTGGTCTTCTTTGAACAGTGTTATGAATCAGTGACACTTCCTTCTGGCATGGTGAATTTTTGTGGGCATTTTGTCGTACCATCCTGTCCATGAAGAAAGGTCCTTTGTCTCAGATGGCCAGATTATAGGTGTGGGGGAAGAGTACTATCGCTAATTCGTTCTGGTGATCAGGTGTAGCTGATGCAAGTGGTGGGAACATGGTGACTGCATGATACCTGGTGGATCTTCTTGCACTTGAATAATGTGTTGGTCACATAGGCTGTTGAAGCAGCACAACTCTAGTAGTTGATCACTCCCTTTGATCTTGCCCTTTCCTTGAAAGCTGAGGCAAGTAGGTCAAGCCTCAAGGCCAGGTCTCATCCTAACAGTTAGTTCTTATAGAAGCTAGATGGCTTCTCTGCTGGGAGCACTCCTTGGTCTAGAACTTTTAATAACTGATATTGAAAGCAGGTAGTTAAGGTATGCTTGCTTAATATGTTGGCAGGCCTAAGAATGTTGACATCCAGAGGGTAAGGAGCCTTTCAGAGCCAGATGAAAGGCTTTTTGATGATGAGCATGACTAGAGTAATGTTTAGCAATGAGCCAACACCATACTTTCTAATTTCATCAGCCAGCTTAACCTGCTGGAAGAAGTTGTAGTTGGCTACATTGATGGTGCTGCTATTGGTTAATCAGGTCTTTTGAAGGCAGCCTATGTCCATGTCCATTACACCAGTCTTCCATTATGTGGTTGATCTGTAACATGTCCTGTCTGGTTTCCATCGATGTAACCACACAACTATGTCTTTTAACATTAGCTGGCATCACTTGCTTCTTTTTATTATAAACTTTCAGATTGTTTGAAAATGTAGCCCGTTCATGCTACCAGCAAAAACAGCAAACTCCTCAGCAAGGGCCACAGGGCATGCTAAGGGAAGAAACACAAGTGGATTAAACGTCTGCAGAACTACATTAGAATCTACATTAGCTTTATCGCTGCCGGATAACAGATTTTAGAAAGCTTTTCATAAAAGGTGGTTTATCTCCAAGTTTTAAAAAAATCTATTTCAGAGATTTGTTAAATTTGTCTTCATTTTCCCCCTTTGCTTTCAGTTTAAAATGCTTAAAATGTAATTGTCATTTTAAAATAGCCAGCCACATCATACTTGAAAAATGCACTAGATGAAGCAAATTTGTTCCATAATTCAAATTCATTTTACTCCTTTTTTTAAGAACTCATTATTCCAATTTTTAAAATTAATTTACTTTATTAACCAGTTCTCAAAGGTTTTTCAAAGTGAACATTAAAAGAATATTGACAAATACCCCCAAGTCACCTCATTTATTTATATGATCCATATAATGTGCGAAGCTGAAGGAAAGTTTATGTTTATTACAAATGTGAACATTCTTTCTTTAATTGAAATATCATTTGTTAATGTACATCTCTTTCATTAATGCAATAGTTCATTCTTTACAATGCGTTTGTATATTCACCTGTACATTATCTACTTTAAACCTGTTTTCAAGCAAATTTTAGAAAAAGATTAGTCATTTAAGTGATATTTCCTCTGCTCTGAGATGGCAGTTATGAGCATAAGCTAAGTTTTTTTAAATTGAATTATTTTTAAAAAATTATTGTGGAGGAACTAAGAAGTTCAGTTTCTTTTGATAATGAAACAACCAAATTATTTTAAAAAGGTGTTTAAATTGCCTCTGTCTTACAAGCTGTCAACTGTTTAATGTTTGTAAGTTATTTACGAAGCTTGTGCTCTGTTTTATTTTGGTAGCTTTGTTTCAAGTGTAAATAGTATACCTGGTAAAGAATGAGGAAGTAAGATAAATGCAAATTATTTTTGTACAGTGAATACTTCGGTGATGAATGTTTTCCATTTTAAACATTTGAAAAAAAGACCGTGAAACGGATATAAATAGCAAAATGGGGTAGTTGATGAATACAAGCTTTTATATATATTATATTATGTTGTACAAAGCAGTAAATTCAATTTTCTTTGGTATTGGACTTGTGCTGTATTAGATGTTGTGACATGTAGAATATCTTTTTGAAAATCTTTTTTTTCCCTTTTTTCTCATTCAAAGCTTGTCCTGGGTTGTTTTTTTTTTTTTCATTTCATAGATCATTTGCCATTTTATGTAAAAATAAATAAATATACATACAAGAATAATACTTATAAGATTGTATTTTTTTTTTTTTTAAATGTAGAATGTCTTTTTGAGATTTTTTTTTTTCTCTTTTTTCTCTTTCTTTTCTTTTCTTTGTTTTTTTTTTTTTTTTTTCATTTCATAGATCATTTGCCATTTTATGTAAAAATAAATAAATATACATACAAGAATAATACTTATAAGATTGTATTTAAAATGTATTTTTAAAATCTAAATGTGGGGTCAGTTTTAATGTATCATGGTGATTTGTTTCTCATCTCATGTGCGGGAGGATGGGAAGAGTTACTCATGATTTGATGTAGTGTAATTTAAGTCCACAACACTTTACAATATGGCAAAACATCATTCAAAATTAAAGTATAAAAAAACAATTTTTATTTTTGTTAAGTTAAGATTTTTCTTAACAGCTATTGAAAAATTTTTTTAAAAAAATGTTTTTTTAAAAAATTCTCCCTGCGACCGTAGAGGCCACAAAAATAATCATTTTTCAAAACCAGTTGACCCGTTCACGCACCTGTGCGGAGGTGTGTGCTTGGGTAACAAATGAAAATTGGGCAGACTAAATCTTTTTTTTCCTATTTGCATGACAGCAAGATATTTTTTTCATAATTGAAATTGTTTATGGGACAAAATGGCATTTGATCTACAATGTTTCTTGAAGTTCCCCTTTGTGTGTTGTCAAATTATAGACACTGTACAAATAAATGTTTCATTTGCATTCTACACATTTGTTTGAGTTATTTATACAAGGGTTGGATGTTCTGAGAATATAAGTATATTGGGACAGACTCAAGGTTGAGGTTCAGTGAAAGGTCCTTAACTATGAATTTTAGGCTTTTTTAAATCAATGCCTGGAATGATCTCTCATTTCTCAAACGAAATATTTCAATTCCAATGACTTAATTTATTTAGCTAAAAATAGATAAGGTGGTGAAATACCTTTACTAAACCCCTTAATTAACATAAAACTGAATTTGCTGTAATGTGCCGGTTTGTACCAGTGCCAATTATGTAAATGTTGAGAGTAGAAGAGCTAGAGTTCATTCGTTTTTCTTTGTGTATCTTTGATTAAATGCGGCCGGGGTTAGCTCAAAAGTGTCCCCCCAATGCACACCATTTATAATATATGTTAATAAATCTCAGAAGTGCCGACTGGGCCAGTTTCCCCCAATGCATAATCTACTTTTATCAATTAAATTAGAATGAGGCAAACACTGAGGTGAAACTACTAAATTATTTTTGTTAAATTATTGTAATATGTAGCCTGATTATAAACCCACCCCCATACCCACACCAGGGGCAGGGGTAGGCAACATTATTTTTTGATTTAGGAACCAGTGTTTACATTACATGATGCATAGATCTGTTATTTAAAACATGGTAGCCACATGCTAATAATATTATAGTATAATTAGTATATAGAGTAATAATAAATAAGTTCGGCATCTATTTCTTCATTAACCGAATGCGACTCCAGAGAAGCTAATTGCTGAACTGACAACTGTACAACATCAACATTACAGAGTTTGAACCATTAAACACTGTCCCACATTAACATTACAGAGTTTGAACCATTAAACACTGTCCCACATTAACATTACAGAGTTTGAACCATTAAACACTGTCCCACATTAACATTACAGAGTTTGAACCATTAAACACTGTCCAACATTAACATTTAAACACTGTCCCCACATTAACATTACAGAGTTTGAACCATTTAACACCTACAACCCCAGTGACATGGCGCTAAAGACATAAAGTCTATAACTCTTAAGACTGCAACCTATAGGTACCCGGGTACATATAGCAACAAATAGCTATTCGGACCTGGAGTGGCTCCGTATAGATTAAATGGCCTCGGAGCCGGGTGTGATAACAATAATAGTATGAGAAATTTTTTAAAAGTGGTTTTTCTCCTTATTTCATGGATTCATAGTTTTATTCTTTTTAGTTGTGTTTTTTTTTTCTTATTGCAGGTAGTTGTTTTTTCTTTCTAATTTTATTTTGTTGTTTAAGCCATTTTCGTAGATCATTTTTTAAAAAAAAATATAGTAATCAAGATGATTTAGATACATTTATTGTTTTCATTTGAATTTAGAAAAGTAATAATATTAATTTAATTATTAATGGACCACGTTATAGAATTTCACCAACAGCTGAGAGCGACCAATGTCCAAGCGTTGGTTGATGTTTTACGTTATAGAATTTCACCAACAGCTGAGAGCGACCAATGTCCAAGCGTTGGTTGATGTTTTACGTGTCATCATAATGAGCAGATCTGGGAAACGTTACGAGCGGACCATGGATTATGTTGCGATATGTTAACTAGAGAGTTGTGCCACCCACTACCACTAAGTCAAAAAAAAAAAAACCTCTTCAGCTCGCCGAAAATGCCACCCCTCATTTTAATTTATTTTTAAAAAGTGCCCTGGGCGAATGCACCCCTGATATTGAGGTCCTTTGCGAGTACCACCTTTACATGGCTGTGCATGGATCCAGTGGGGTAGAAATAAATATCAGACAAAGTAGATAGATTTATAAAATAAAATAAAAAAACATTTAAATCTAAATATATCCTATTGGGCAGTTTTTATAACGTATCTTTGAAAAAATAAGAAGAGTACCCCTTGTTTTCCCACAATGGCGTCGTAAATGACAAAAGAATCATGAAATGTACATTTAAAAAAAAAAAATCTTGTACTATTTTGTTACATGGTTATTGTATTTGAACAAAAAGACGCAATTTTAAGCCTTTAGTTCCATCAGGTAAAGAGGAAGTTTTAATTTAATATCACTAGAAATAATTATTCGCGCTTAAATTTCTTTAAAAATATCACTTTCAATAAAAATATTTTTTTTCCATGATCATTTTTAACCTAAACGGCTCTGTCACTATAATCTTAAGCCATATTTAAACAAGTATACACAATTTCAAAACAATTGAACAGGTAGATTTTGAGAAAAATGAAGCCTAACATTTAGTATACCTTAAAAATTTTATTTTGAGAAAAACAGAAAATAAACTCTTTTTGGAAGAAATTTAAGTCTTATTCATAATGTAAGCAAATAAATTTCATCTTATTCAATATAAAAATCATTGGGCATGTTAATAAGCAAAAAACAAATGTAAACCTGTGGAAAATAAATTTTCAGGGACAAATATACAACACCCTCCCTGCGGCAAAAAAAATATATTTTTTTTTAAATTTCAAAAAAAAAAAAACCCCCTTACTTTGCATACCAAAAAAATTATTTCAACATTATCATTATGATTTAAAAATAGCATACTACATAATTTATAAAAATTGGAAGATATATTTTTTAATTTATTAGTAGACGACATAAAAAAATCAGCCCCTTCAAGTATTTCTTGCGGCCACCCTTACTCTAACTCAACTCTGCATTTCTTTTTCTGCAGCTATTTTTTAAACCTCCTTCCAAATACTTCATTATTTTCTAGTGACCTCTGGGCTTTATAGATGCAGAAACTGTCCCTTGTATTTCCAAGTAGATGGGTCTGCAAATGGTGCAGCCACAGCCTGTCTGTTTAGAGTGTGGACACTTTCAAATTTTTTCTCAGTTTTTACCGCTTCGCAGGTTGCACAAAAAAAACAGCAAATATACTGCAAGTCTACAGTTTTTATTTCTCATCCTGTAGAAGGTGAAGAGACTAAGTACTGCAAGAGGCACATTGCAGTCCAGTATAGCAAACTTTAAATAGCAACATAGATTGTTGGCGAAGGTGAATCGCTGGGGCTGTCGGTGGCAGCAAAAAAAAAAGCCAAGTTCATGCTTTCATGCATACCCGGCAAAATGACTGTCCCTGTCCCAAAATGGCTCGGGTTGTATATCCTGAATATCTGCTACAGAGTGGTTGTCCAACTGGCAGGGAGGGGACAAAGCGATGGTTGAGAGTTCATTCTTCTTCGACTTGGCCGCTCTTGCCATAGTTGTCGATGTCTCTTCAGCTTAGATCTTGAAGCAGTACTCTTTGTCAATTCTTTAGTTGGAGGCATAACACTGAAGAAATAGCAATAGAGAAATAAAAAAATTGTCAATAAAAATAAAACAATATCATAAACAAAGCAACTGGTATGTCAAAAAAAGTTGCAAGAATAAAGACACGTACCTGTAATTGAAAATAACCAAATATAATAAATAGAACATTTTTAATTTAGTAAGCCCAATAAGAACTAAATAGGTACAGTGCCTGCATATTGTAAAATAGATCCAGTCATTATCAATAGTCCTATATAGACTATAAATATTTCAAATGTGTCTCCCCATGTAGTGTATGAGTATACGATATGCACTAGTACTAGTACTATTTTTAGTATTATGGTATGATTACAATTACAATTAATTATAGTATAGTGTAGCCTACCAGAAATAAATCGTTAAACTATTACTAAAATATTTTAGTATTATTATATAATATGTACATTTAGTTTGTAATGAGAGTACAACAGGTCTAATGTTTGTAATACACAGTTCAGTTCACGTGTGACTTGACTCAGTTTACTGACTCGGTCTAGCAGTGGCGTCATAAGACTAGACCACAAAATTACCAATGAACGAAATAATAATACCAAATTCAATTATAAAAATATCATATACCAATTAATCTTACCTTATTTGATGAAATCAATTGAAAAATAATCAAATCCTAAAACAGTAAAGCAAATTTTCACTTCGAATCGACGAAAAAGGCATTCTCTTTGTTTACACGTCGTCAGGGGAAAATGTTGGAAGGTCACGGCTTCCGTATAGGAAAATGGCGGACATGGACCAATCAAAATGCAGAGAATTGTTTATAGATACTAATTGGCCAATCATCTACTTTTGTGTACACGTGATACCCATGGTTTTTACGTGAATGTTTTTTTTAATATAAATTAGTCATCGGAATCGCATTCTTTATGCGGTGATAAGCTTTCTAACGATACCAAACATGATAGAATCGAACCGGAGGTTTCCGCGCAATCAAGTGTTGAAGAATAGGTAATTTGGGGTTAGGTGTGAACAAAAACAACATCAGCTAGAATACTTCCTTAACAGATTCCCCATTCTGATCCCCAGAGGGACTGATGTTGACACTATCTATGAAGAGTTTGCTAGGTATCAGCAGAGGAACATTGAGGATTGTGTTGAGGATGGGGTAAGAGTTGACAGGATTTGGCAAACAATTAGCCAAAAGCACCCAGCCCTTAAGAATCTTGCACCTGTAGTGAAAGGGATCCTCACCATATCTCACTCCAGTGCTGCGTGCGAGAGAGTATTCTCTATGGTCCTGAAAACATGCACAGACCAGGGAACAACAATGGTCCAAAAACAACAGAGGCCTTGTTAGTCCTCAAGAGAAAATCAGGAAGCTGCTTGGACTTGGATGAAAATTTCAGTGCAAAAGAACTCCAGCAGCTTAAAAGTTCAGCAAGCATCATCAATACACAAGGTATTTAAATATTTATAAAATGTGTACTCAGTTAAAGAATATGCCCCTTTTATTGCTACCAAGTGTACTAATTTGTTCAGTATTGTACTATTCTGAGACAGTATTGTTCTATTTTGAGATGGAATTGTACTATTTTTTGAGTTCCTGGGGAAACAAGTCTGGTGCATGAGTATAATATAAGCTGTGAATTAAATGATAATAGAATTCATCACTTTTTTTTGGGGGGGATGACAAAGATTTTATAAAGCTAAAGCAGCTAGACCTAGATGAGCCACACAGTGGGATCTGGCTATGATAAAAACATCATGTTTGTGGCTCTTTAGGGTTAAC